TGGATGGTATTGTTTGCTGTATCTGTGCCCGAATATCGAGGTGCAGTAAAGCAGAGAAAGAAGGTCGAACGAAAAGACCAAGTGGTGTTTTGAAAGTGAACGAGTGAAGAAAGTACTGCAAGCCAGAATTGCGGGTACAATCCGTAGAGCTCAGATACATACGTCGCAGGCACGTACACAGTAGAATAACGGGCAGTTGCGAACCCGCATTCAGGGCGAAGGGGAAGCGACTGCCGCAATAGACACCCGGAGCAACCAATCTCGGTTCCACGCCGTGACCCAATGGAAGTGACAGGTGACGCAGTTTTCAACCGTGTCCACTTGGTCCTTATGGTACATGCTCCCATATCCTTGCGTTGCAGGAGCGACATAGGACCCTAATGCAACAATGTCATTCCTTGAGATAGTGACATATATCTGCTTCTTCTTGTACCGTGTTCAGACCGAAAGTCCTGTTAATGGAGAACTGAGTATCCAAGACATGATGTATGCAGAACATCGAGGCCTTCTCTCAAGCATCGGGTAGGTGCACAAGTCTCTTCAAAATCGAGTTCTTGCGCGAACACAAGTCGAAGAGGTGCTGATGCGGGATGGATCAATCCATATAACCCGTCGTCTCGTCCATGATGGCCGCGAAGCTCTTAGTCTCACGATGCTTCCCACTTGTTATAGGTGGGAATTGCGACATCTTCAGTCGGAACTCGTCTGACTTCTTGATCGCAGGCGCGAGATTCCTACAGAACCATTAGTTCGTGCTACCACAAATTCATCACATAATCGTACTTTACATCCCCACGAACGAGGTAGTTGTTCCGTTCCATCGCAACGGCGAGCTCCTCTTGGTGGTTATCAAGTAGCCCAGTATTGGGCACAACGATGAGTGGGATCTGATAGCGAAGTGCTTCAAGGATGGAACCAGATCCTATGTATCGTTAGATGTATCATTCAAATAGAGCGGCTATTAGTACCAGCATGTGAGACAACCAAGCCTTTCGACCGCTGCACCAACTGGAACTGGGTTTTCAGTCCGTCCGGATTGAAATCTATGCCATCTATGATGAGGTCTCCTTTTGACGGGGTCTCCTGCATATATGCTGAAGCGAGTTTGGAGAACTGTTTGTACACGTCCTCGGCAGATCCATATTGGACCAAGAGATGTGTAAAGCCGCCTTGGCGTAATGAGTCCAGACACGTTGGACTCAGCACTGATTCAATGAGCTCGGTAAATGGCGCCGTTGCTCCGGTAGTCACGAAGCAGAGCTTCGAATCAGCCGTCCAGTTCCAAGCCATGGCAGATGTGATGGATGTCAAGATATCGAGGAATAGTAAACGGTGAGTGTGATCAGTCCAGCCATCAACTGCCCTCAAGATCAGAACCAAAAGTCGAAAGCAAGTCGGCGTCAAGATGGTCACGATGCCAGGACAGCGGCGAAGGTCGGGGCCATCTTAGTTCCAATTGGTCCAACGCACGGCCACACTTTGCACCCCATCGCCAAGCATTCCTGCATCGCGAAAAGTCGACGACAGCATCACCCGCCCAACCCCATCCAATGGCGTCAATACCACGAAGACTGCTCTTGCAGTCACGCCAATGCCCCTCGCGGATACGAACGCTCGCCGCACCGAAACACACATCCGCACAATGGCAACGGCCAATATCCACAACGCCGCGGCGGTACGCCAACGAACCCACGAAAGAGGGCTCTGTAACCGCAGCAGATGCAAAGGCACCGACTGAGACTCTGGACGAATTGGCGCCGGAATTACCTCAATCCTCCTTCTCGAACACTACGCAGGCAAAGGCATTCCAAGACATGACACCGCAAGAGCGCGAATCCGCCATGTTGGAGAACCTTCGCGTGTCCCTCGCAGAGATCGATCCGAACGTTGTCCGCGACGCCCTCCGCAAGGGAAAACGCGGTCTGCCACAGACTCAGGACTTTGGCCTGGAAACAGATGAGGACTTTGATATTGAGGAGGATGACAAGAGGAAGGTATCCACGGGTTTCTGGGCCGAAGGAGAAGAGAGCATGGGACCGGATGAGGATTACTACGGCGACGACCTGACGAGTCATGGACACGGAGAATTGGAGCAGCACCGCGAGTTGAGGGAGTATGCGCGGTTGATTGCGTGGGAGTTGCCGCTTCTGAGTCGTACGTTTGAACGATTCCAACATACCCAAGACGAAGTACACATACTAACACCTCCGCAGACCTCGCCCGCCCCTTCGAACCCCCCACATCCTCCACCCCCTTCCGCTTCCGCTACACATCCTACCTCGGGGAATCGCACCCCGCCGCCAACAAAGTCGTCGTCGAGTTCTCGCCCAACGACCTGACCGCCTCCCACTCCCTCACCACCCAACAAGTCTCCAAAGTGATCAAACTCGCGGGACCCCGCTACAACCCCTCCACCAACATCGTCAAGCTCTCGTGCGAGAAATTCGATACACAAGCACAAAACAAGCGGTTCCTAGGCGAAACCCTGTCTGCTATTATCAAGGAAGCGAAGGAAGGCAAAGATACGTTTGAAGACGTGCCTTTTGATTTCAGACATCATACGCCGAAGAAACGGGCGGAGTTCCCGAAGGAATGGGTGTTGACAAAGGAGAGGAAACAGTATCTTGAGGAGAAGAGGGCGAAGACGGCGTATCTTGAGGATCAGAGGAAGGGCAATGGGCTGTTGGTGGATGGGTCGAAGGTGCTTGAGACGAGCTTGCCGTTTATGAGTGAGGCGGGCAAGGCGCCGGAGACGGTTATGGTGGGGGGTGCGAGGGGGAAGCCGTTGAGGTAGGAAATAGACAACACATGTGATTGTTGCTGTATGAATATGAAATGTTTGATTGTTGTACAGATACGCAATGAAAAACAGCATCTTTCTGTGCTGCGTGTGTGGATGATACCAAATATCCAGTGGTGGACCTTAACTCCTATTGATACAAATTTCCGGGGAATGATATCCCAAGGGTATAGTTAGACCCATCGTTACGCCAATATTTCCCTATAACGCCATACCCAATTCCAACATGATTTTTGCGACGATGTTAAACGGATGTATCCATGATTCCGGTATTGAGTGGATCGACAATGCACTCGGCGCCACGGCGCTCGCACGTCTTACAAGGGATGGCTACGGAAGCGTTCTCAGCGTGGATCCGCACGTTGCATGTGTACGAGGTCTTGCTATCGTAACTGCGCACGCAATGAGTGCATACCCCAGCTCGATAGGCCATCTCTTCTATGCGCGCTGTTAGCAGGCAGGTCAAACAGCTGGCCCTGTGACGGCGCTTGGACGACTCTTCTTCCTGCTGCCCTTGCCCGCAGGCGTCTCGCCCTCTTCCCGCTTACGCTTTGCGGGACGAGAGCTGCCGCCCTTGGGTCGGTAGGCGGTGTCGTCGTCGCCACCACCAGTCTTGCGTCGTCCCTTGCCAGTTTCAGGGGCGGCCGAGTCTTCGTCATCGTGGTCGCGGGGAGCGGGTGTGCCGCCGCCGCCAATGTTTGACTCGCGTTTGACCTTGGTTGCGTTGGCTTTGCTGGTCTTTGGCGCGGCAGACTTTTCGGAGAGGTTCTCGTGATGCGCCGCGTCTTTGTCTTGCAGGAAGACTTGGGGCTGGTGCTTGCGCAGCCAGTTGTAGACGCTGTCCGGGTTGCGCACGGTGAGGTCCTTTTCGCTGAGTGGGGGCTGGGCGGATGCGAGGCGAACGGGGCGGCCCTGCTGGAGGGCCTGGTCGAAGCCGGGCTGCTCGAGGAGTTGGTCGGTGGCGAGGAGGTATTCGTCTTCGTGGGTGGGCGACATGTAGCCCGGCGCATGCTCGCTAAGGTCGATGCCCTCGACGGGGTGGTCGGGCAGGTCGGCGCGCGTCGTGTGGGGGACTTTGGCTTCGAGGCTGGCGAGCGACTTGAGCGTCTGCTGTATCGCTTGCGACGAGTGCAGTTGGTCAGCCCGTGTCGCGTATTCCTCGGGGGTGATGGTGTTGGCGGCTAGGTCATCTCGCAGCGTCTGCAGCTGCGCTTTCACCAGTTCTGGATCGGGGACGGCTTCCAGCGAGGGCACGGCAGTGTCGGCGGCGGAGAGGTTGCGCAGGTCGAAGCGCAGGCGCGGGTTGACGCGTGTCTGCTCGTTGAGCTCGAGCAGGATGTCGAGGATCTGGTCGTTGTTCTCCTGCAGGCGGCGGGCGGTGCCCATGGCCTTCCACTCCTGCTTGATGAGGCTGTCGCTGTCGTTCATGGCCTCTTCGAACCTGATGCGCATCTTGCGGTATTTTCGTCTTTTATGCACATTAGCTGGGGACTGCATTTAATCCGTCGGCGCGTCATACCTCCACGAGCGCTTGACGGGCTTCTGCGTCGCATCGGGTGCATCGACGGGCGGTGCATCGTGGGCGAGGGCGTGGGGCTCCATCGGGGGCGGCGCTTCCGAGGCCATGGTGGTGAAAAGGGTGGTGGTTGGAGGGTCTTTGGCGGACGGAGGTGGTAGTGTCTGGTTCTAGAGTTGTATGGTTGCGCTCAGGGCACGGCCTCGGTGATTGCTAGGAACACGGTCTTTGGGAGCATCATGTGGACCTGCCACGCCTCCGTCTTCACGCCTGCCGACTGAGGCTTCACTCCCTCCTCTTCTGCCAACAGATTCCTCTTCTCTGCCCGCTGCCTCGCTACATCGCTACCGTCTACACGCCCTTCTCTGCGCCAATCGCTCAACGCCAAAAGCTCGGACGCCCCGGAAGGTATTGCGTACTCAGTAAGAAGACCCTGAAAGCCCACGTCGCCGCCTTGCTCCTTTAGGACCTCACTGACATGCCATTGCCCGTGGCAGCTCTCCCATAGCCTCAGCCCGCGCACGCGATTATATATCCCCCTCTCCCACCGCCCGGCCGCCCGACGAACCCAGCAATACCGCCAAACTGTCACCCATACTCCTCAATCGCACCTCCCGCCTGAGCTTTGCTGGCGACCCGCGGTCTCGCCCATCAGACTCGCCCTCGTCCTCGTCCTACTCCAAGATGTCGCTGGATGCTGCAAAAGACGCGAGGAGGCGACGTAGCAGTAGTCTTGTCTACAAAGAGCCCCCCGAGTCTCTGGAGCAGCTGAGCGACCAGTCCGCCCTGCCCAACCTCAACGCCGAATGGGTGAATGCAAAGGGTGAGCACGAGATACCGCGCACACATGTCGCAGGAGATTGAGATGATATGTTGCTATTCTGTATCTCATGCTAACACCTCCAGGCGCCTGGGCTATCCACTTTGTCCTCATCTTCTTTGGCAAGATTCTGTTCGACATCATCCCCGGCATGTCGCAAGAAGCATCATGGACCCTCGTCAATCTTTCGTACGTGGCGGGATCCTACCTCATGTTCCACTACGTGCGCGGTGTGCCCTTTGACTTCAACTCGGGCGCCTACGACAACTTGAACATGTGGGAACAGATCGACAACGGCGAACAATACACACCAGCCAAGAAGTTCCTTCTCAGCGTACCCATTGTGCTATTTCTCGTCAGCACGCACTACACGAATTACAATCTGACGTATTTCCTCATCAACTGCTTTGCGACCATAGCAGTCGTCATTCCAAAGCTCCCCTCGGTATGCACCCCAACACTCTTCAGACGAAGCATTACTAACTTCCCCAGCTCCACAGGATACGATTCGCTTTCTTCAACAACCCACCGGACGACGCATAGCCGACAATCCCCATAATCACAACCATTGGTTTCACTGTAATTTGCATGTATTTTTAATAGCAGGCGCCTGGCATGGCCAGATTGAGTAGCATCACCGCGCGGGAGCGGCGTTGGGCATATCCATATTCAAGGGAGGCGCTGGATTCACAAAAGTAGAGGAATTGATTACCTCGCGTGCTCACGTGGAGATAGTGGCTTGACCTAGCTGCATTATCGCATTCGGGACTGGTGCATACATATGATAGGGCGATAATTCTCCGCAAACATGCACTCGCACGGCATCTCTACTGCTCTTCCTCTACTGCTCTTTCTGAACGTCCATCACACCTAACCTTGGAATGCTTGGTAGTGTGGTTCAACATGCAAGGTGCCACCACTTCCGGCAACTACGGTCCGAGCGCAAGGCCAAATCCAGCCAACCTTCGTCATCGATGCGCACCTCCATGCAGCGTGATCCTTCGCGCTCGACACCTGATCCAACGCGCCATTAATCCTGCACTCCAGGTCCCCCGTGATATTCGCCGCTCGAGGTTATCGTGCGTGAAACTCCGCTGTCTTTCCAGCGCGCGCTTTCTTTGCGGTGTTCCAGAGTTCGCCATTTACCTTCGACGTCACGGCGATCATAGAACGCCTACTCTCGCCCAAGCTTCGCAGAGACTTCAACTCACTCACCACAATTGCACGCGTGCCTCTAACCAACAGTAAAGCATCATGGTCTGGTCTCAACTCGAGCCCACGGGGCCGCACGTTACCTATGTGACCCTAACCTTCTTTCTCATATTGTACGCGTTGTTCTCGCTTATGATCCGGAACCGCCTGCATCTCTCAGAACCACCATTAGCCACGCTTTTTGGTATCGTAAGTACGGAGATCTTTAAGAATGAATCTTTTTCTAACAAGACCGACAGATCGTCGGACCACGCGCTCTCAACCTCCTCAGGCCATATGAATGGGGCTTTTCCGTAAGTGTGCTCCTCATACAAACAAACAATACTAACCGTCGCAGGATGAAATTATCCAAGAACTGACGCGTCTCATCGTCGGGATTCAGTGCTTCGTAGTCGGTCTGGAGCTTCCCGCAGGCTATCTCCAAAAGAAATGGCGCGCCCTGCTTGTTCTTCTCGGGCCTGTCATGACGTTTGGTTGGCTGATGTGCGGAATGCTTATTATGTTCCTGTTCGACACAGACTTCCAGACTGCTTTGACGATATCGGCCTGCCTCACGCCCACAGATCCTGTTCTCGCAGCTTCCGTTCTGTCGAACAGCCAGTTCAGCACCCGAGTACCCAAGCGGATTAGGGACTTGTTGAGCGCGGAGAGTGGTTGCAACGACGGCATATCCTTCCCATTCCTGTATCTGGGATTGAGCCTTCTCCTGAAGAACACCGCTCGTGGCTTCTTCACGAAATGGTTCCTTGTTACTATCCTATACCAGTGCGTGGTAGGCGTTCTCCTGGGTATCGCCCTGGGATACATCTTCAACGGCCTCTACAGGTTCTCGCACAGCCGCGAGTGGATGGGCCGAGCCTCCTACCTAGCCTTCTACTTACTCCTGGCCATCTTCTCCATCGGACTGGCATCGGTTCTTGGAGTGGACGACTTCCTAGTTGCCTTTTTCGCAGGCCGTGGCTTCGCGCACAACCAAAAGAACCCGACTGAAGGAACCGCACTACCCGTCATCATCGACTTGCTGATCAATTCGGCCTTCTTCATCTTCTTTGGAGCAATGATACCCTGGGCGAGCTTCAACGCGGTGGACGGAATTACCCCTCTCCGACTGGTTGCTTTGCTCGCACTCATCCTACTCTTCCGCAGAATTCCGATCGTTTTCACGCTTTTCAAGACGAAAATGTTGCCATCTGTAAAGACTACAACCGAAGCCCTCTTTGTCGGACATTTTGGACCAATGGGTGTCGGTGCCCTCTTCCTCGCCATCGAAGCCCGCGCGCAGCTCGAAACTGGTACATCCTTACCCCTTCCACATCCGCCCAAGGATCTGCCCGTCGAGCGACAACGGACAGCAACTATGATATGGCCCCTTGTTTGCTTCATTGTGCTCGGAAGTACCATGATTCATGGCTTCAGTACTTTGGCTGTCAGCATCGGAGGCCATCTCGCACGTCACGAGGGCGAGAGGGCTCCTCTGATCGGTGCTGAAACGGAAGGACTACATGGCATGATCCATAACGACAGTGAGGCCGAGGACGAACAGGAATAGTACAATGTTGTTCTCGGACGAAGACCATTTGGTATGGGATGAATGTTGGAGCTTGGTCTGATCCAAGCTTGGACGCCAGCACGACACTGAGAAGAAGGTCGGTCAGATGACGACGACAAGCTACCGTTGGACTGTCGACACTGGAGCTAAGGTCCTTTTACTCCACAGTGTCTGAACGATTACAAGAAGGACGATATACGCCAACAATGTCGTTCTCACAGCGCGCGCAAGACATGTAGATGCTTACCTTGAGTATATATGATAAATCAAGTTCATTCAGTACCAGACCAGAATCTGGGTTAACAACCATGTCGACTGAGGTCTGTACAAGTCTAGGGCCGCCTGCTGCACTGGATCTCGCTAACAGCTCAGCATCAAATGTTGCGCCTGGGGTTAGGTATGATGTTGCCTGCCCGTCCCCGTCCCCAACACCAGATATCAACAGCTCTCCCACCATAACACTAGACGGCCTCGCTAACCTCACCCCTCTCCTCGCCCCGTCGCCAAACGAGATCCAAGACCTCGACTCAAATTACCCAAGTTACCGCGCACCAATCAATTACTACAGCCTCTCCCCCAGCGGCACACTAACCCAAGAAACTCACCCCAACCCCGTATCCCGTACCTCCGTCCTCCTTTCCTTAGAATACTTCTACACCCTCCGCAAACACCTCACTGCTAACCTATCCATCTTGGACAATTATCCAGGGACGTCGTTGGCTGCAGTCCATGACACTGCGACTCGACGCTCGTCAGCACTAACGGCGTTGGAGAGGGCGCAGAACGAGTTTGCCATGCACCACATCGCCATCAACGAGAACTTGCGCGCTGTGAATAGTGATTGGAGTTGTCACGAGTTTGGCCTACCAGATCCTATGGGCGCGGCGAGTGATGTTAGACGTGATAGGAACTTTTTTGCGCATTGGTTTCCGACGCCGATGGGTAGGGGGGTTTGGTTCGTGTGGGCGGTGGAGGGGAAGAGGGGGGTTTATGGGGGGTTACTGGGGTTGGTGGAGGGCGGGATTTGTGTGCTGCAGGGGCAGCTGGATGATCCGTCGATCTGGGTCTCACCGCAGGCTATAGAGAAGGAGAGACTGGAACGGGAAACAGAAGAGCGGAGAAGGAGAGATGATACTTCGCAGGCGGAGGATTATGTGTACAAGCAAGAAGATGACGTAGAGAGGATGGCGCCGCCTCGGTCGCTGTTCTCAAGTGTTTTCGACAGCTTTGGTGGGAAGATGGTCCTCTCGCGCTGCTTTCGTTTTGGGGTCGTGCGTAGAGCTGGGTGGTGGCTGCTGGATTGGTTAGGGGATGTCCTAGCAGAAGCTGACACTGTTGCTCTACGCAGGGCTGGGGAAGGTGTACCTGGGGATTGTGGAGAAGGAGATGGCTGGGGGAGTCAGAAGTGCCAACTTGAAGATGAGGACTGCTGTGGGAGTCAGGACTGCGAGATCGAATATGACGAGTGCAGGAGTCAGGAGTACAAGGTTGAAAATGACGACTGCCATAGGAGCCAAGATATGGACGCGCATCTGTCACGGCCAGATAGTGGTTGGGGTGACCCGCAGTGGTAGGAGCGAGGCGGCTCGAGAGTGCGGGGAAGGGCACGACTGGAGGATTCAGGAGTACAAGATTGGGAATGACGAATGTAATAGAAGTCAAGATCTTGACGCGCTTCTGTCACAGCCAGGTAGTGGCTGGAGTGGCCCGCAATCGTAGGATGGAGGTGGTTCGAGCGCGTCCTCCAACTCTCCGCCAACACTGAGCTCGGGTCCTTGTAAGTGCACGTATACCACAACACGCGACTGATCGGTAGTATAAAAACGGCACGCTTAATCTGCCATATCTACTATGATATCCCTACACTCAGAAAACCTATTCATTGCCAGTCTGCATCATGACTGGTACTCCTTGCTTTGGGCATAGCTATGTTACCCAGAATCATCCTACATGATCCAGCAACAGTCACTCTCTCTCACACTCCGTAGATCGAGTCACTCGCTCCTAGAAATATCTGACTCAGGCGCAGTATAAAAGCTGCTCTCAATATGGGTGTATGCTACTTCACCCTACAACACATTCGAAGACGAGAAAAGAGCGACTTACTACCAAAAATCATTCTCCCTGATCTTACTCAATTCCAACGTCTCGATCCCACCCGAAATGGTTGTTCTCACATCCGTCCAGGTCGTCGACATACTCGGCGTCCTGCAGACCAATATCAATACCACAATCACCTTAGCCGACATCATCATCGCTATTAACCGTACTGCTACGCCAGCTAAACAAAATGACCACTTGGCGCATTTCACACAGCAACCAAACGGCAGTTACATACTCAGTCCCCGGTCGGGCTTTCGCACTATGGTCGGTGCGTATAACCATGAGCTGAGGAATAACTTCAGTTCTGCACTCACGATGCATGTGCAACAAAGCGCGGCCAACAAAAGCTGACTATCATCGATTCTGTAGGTAATTACAGAGATAATTGGCCCGATTTCTGGACCGGGCTCCACGAGAACCCGATTCCAAGTGTCTTGAGCAATCGATATGTTGTAGATGCGACGCCTGAAAATCCGAACCCTGTCTAGACGAACCATGCGGTCGAGGGCCCGGAGGTTGGTGTTGGGAGAGGAAACGGCTTGATGAGACCTGTGCTGTTACGGGGTGTGGGGAAATGGAAGATGGTGATGCGATAATTTCTTTCCTTTCTCACGACGGACTGGTAATTGGGCTATACTGAAGTGGTGGAGTCTACTCTCGTTCAATACCAAACACGACTTGCACAAAGAATAGTTCCGCGCACAATAAGTGATTCTTGCTCACCTCAGTGTTCCACTCACTCAAGTTTTGACAGCAGACTGTATAGGTCGCGTGTCTCGTAGATTTGTTTAATCATTATCTCATGTTCCTTTCAGGTCTCTCCAGGAAATACCTTATTTAGGCGGTGTCATTGTAGTGAAATGTTTCCATCGAATCTGTAGTCTTCCTAATGTATCCATTCATGAATCTACGCTCAGATAGTTGCACGAGCACCTACACAATGACACGCAATTTGGGAACTTGGAGAACGTACACCCCTTTTCGATCACGCGCTATTGTTCTACTATTGTCAAGACGTAGCTACCTATTTTTGCCTTGCATACTACAGCACTATTCAGAATACTCCTTCCACAAGACTTAGCCACGTGCAGTCACTCTCTCACTCACCGCGAAATCCTACTCATTCACTGTTGAGATATCTCACTCTCTCCCAGTATATAAACAAGCCATCAGGTACCATGTATCCCTCTTCCATAAGCGCCACACTTTTGAGAACGAGAAATATAGCTTAACATTATCAATCCTCTTCTCACCCTTTACAACAAACCCAAGCATACAAATCCCAACAACAATGCCAAACGTCGCTTCAGATCTGATCCCCACCAAGGCCGGCCACCTCCCTGGAATTCTCACTCTCCTCAAGTCCGGTAACCAGGTTACCTTGACCGACATCCGGACCATGTTCGACCAAGTCCACCCTGGCAGCGCGGCGGACCACTTCGAGCCCTACGGAGGTGGTTACAAGCTCACTCCTCGTTCGGGCTTCGTCAATCTCATCGGTAAGTGTCTGTCTGGGCTGGAAAATAATATTGGTTCTGCATGGATTTTGCACTGCTCGAAACGCTTTTCCGAAAGAGACTGACCGTGAGCTTTATCATCACCGACAGGCCATCTTAGGGACGAATGGCCAGAATTCTGGATCCAGATGCGGGAACAGCCCATCCCGGAGAACTTGAGCAACAGGCAAGGGCCGTAGACGTCTACCTATCCTCGTGGGTACATGGTACGGTCAAAGACGGATTGCGACAAGGGAAGGAGAGCGAGACGGTTACTTTGACGGAACGTCGCAACATCCAACACAGCTGGAACTATTGGTTGTTGTCCGGTTGGCTTTTGATATATGTATTCACAGGTTGTTGAGATAGTGTGGTCTGTACGATTAAAGTAGACATTCAATAAGAAATAAACCGTATGCACTAGTAGCCTCCTCGCTACCCGATAAGTGAATGTAAGTCTAATACTCTTCTAATGTATACAATATGATAATTACAAGGATAATGCGAGTGTCTTGTTGGTCTGAGAAAGATGATGCTCAATGTAAAGGTGTTAATAGGTGGCTTCTTTCCTCCGGGGTGTCACGCCCGATGACCTAATGTGCGCCAACCTCACCTCGCACATGATAGCGCGCATAGGGCTTCCAGTCATCTTGGTATTTTGTCCAGTATCCAAGTTCTTGTTGGCCGAGGTCGATCATGTTGGTAAAATTTCCTTGGCATCGACTCAGCCACCATGAGTTTGGGATCATGTGTTACGAGGCTGTGCTGCTGCCTTGGGGTTGATAGGTAGTGTTTATCTCCAGCACATCATCACATGGAAAGTCTGTTCTCAGAGCGTAAGCGCTAGTCACAGAACAACTCTTCGATAGTGACTTTCGATGGAATCCGTTTCTTATTCACTTCTTTCCTCTCTTTACCGCGCTTAGACATACGAGCTTCTCGCCCTCTTTTAGTGTCCGGCTCATCTACTGTGTAAGTTGTTGCAGTGCTGCTAGCGTTTTTTATTAGCAGCTACTTACATCCAATCAGCATTAGTCCAATTCGTCCAGTCATCGCCATGATACCACCGACTGGCCTCGTCGCTGAAAGCGAGATAAAGAGAATGCGGGAATGCGCAACAGAGAATGAAAGTCTGGCTCGTTGCTGGGACAAACCGCATGTCGCTCTGGTGACGATGGAGTGGGCCCCGTCTGGTCTGGCCTATTCTTGGAAGGGTTGGATGTCCTGTAACGAGATGAGAGGCTACTGGAAGCAAGAAGAAGCGATGCCAGTCTTGTCTGTGGAAATCACAACCCCAACATCCCTGGCAGTATCAACCACTGAGGATCAAAGCGATGATAAACAGAACAAAACGCACGAGTACCGATTCTGGATGCGGTCGAAATGGCCGCAGAATGTTGTTCGCGTGCGGGAGGATAAATGGCAGGCGAATCCAAACGACACCCATTCCAGCTTTGTATCGATCAATGATGCTGTCGCGGGCCTCGAAAAGATGTTCCGTGACTTGTCATCAACACATCCGACAATCTGCGTCTGTTCCCATCGGCCGACTTTGACACAACAGGGTCTAGTCGACATCGGATTCAAGCTACCAAAAGGCACCATTTTCGTCGACATGATCAAGGTACTAGAGTACCAGTCTAGATTTCGAGACATGCCTCTAAAAGTCAAACGCTACATCAACAGTTGCCTGGAAGTTGAAATGCGCGACGGGATACGCTTTGAAGAGAGACTAGATGCAAGCGACAGTGGCGCACTTGCGTCCGACTTCGATAAACACGCGCCAAAATATGGCCAAACCAACGAGTGGCGTGAGATCATCCGTAAGAAAGAAGATCTATCGGCTGGCATCTTGTTGAAGATTCTTGGGCCCGAGGCTGAAGCCCACCGGCGGCAGATCAGAAAGATGGAGAAGATACTCACACTAGAGAGGGATGCGCGCTGGGAAATTGACGAGGCAAAAGAGGACTACCAGAAGCAGCTTGCTATGCTACGCCAACAGACGATTGAGTAGCGCTAAGATCCAGAGCGTCAGGAAGAGGAGCCATCACGTATGTCCTGATGCTGATGCGAGAGAGTTGTCGGGCTCGAACAGGTGTGAGTTGGAGATGTGGCCCTTCCAAGGTTTTTCTCGCCTCAGGTGCCCAGGTGGGGCCGAAGTCAATGATTGGCCGGCTTTACGCGCATTCTGGGGCCGACGCCAACATCTTGAGGGAAATTGCCCGGTGCTACCTTTACGACACTTTATAATATCAGAAAGTCGCTGATTAGCCAGCTATACGCTTCCACCATTCAATTCATCTCACTACAAGTGATCTGCGTTCGACGCGTGACACAGCCTGCTCAGGCGATTCTCGGCCGACAGCGAAGTTCAATGTCGGCCTGATTATTTGCTAGCGAAATCTAAGTAATGATGCTCTCGCCCAGCAATCATGTACGCGCTCGCGCGATGACTGTAGTGGAGGCTTTTAATATGGTGAGGCCTCCCTTGCGAGTATTGCGTATGGGGCGGGAGGCCCACCTGAGGAACATCAAGGTACCGTCCCTCTTGTGCATACCTAGGTAAAGCCGTGTGTATAAAACTCAACCCGGTAAACACCTACATTGTTTGATTACTCAACCTACACACTTCTTTCAAGCGCAACATAGCACTCCTCGACTACTCAAATCAAGATGAGAATCGCAGATGGCCTGGTACTGCTCGTAGCATTACCCGCCGTCGTAGCAATGAAGACAGCCATCATCTACCGTGGGTCTAGCGCTTGCGACAACTGCTCCGAGAGTGTCGGCAGACTCCTCATGAATTCCCCTTACCACTTCAACGTCACATATGCTGGACCGGACGAAGAAGTGGATCTCAGCCCCGAACTTCTGTCTAAAGCAGACCTCTACGCATATCCTGGTGGACCAGGTCAGTAACCCCTAGCCCGATGATGAAAACGTGGCGCAACTTGACTTTGAAGTGAGCACAAGAGACTAAGAATGATTTCACAGATCTTGACGAAGCTTGGGATGAGCTCAAAACGCATGCGAAGACGATAAGAGAATTTGTCAACGGCGGCGGTCGGTACATAGGCTTCTGCCTGGGGGCCTATCTTGCTGGGAAGGCGGCACTCGATCTCATGCCCAGCGGTATCGACGTCGGATCCGAAATACTGCAAGATAAAGCACAGGTCCATGACGACCGAGACACCACAATTCAAGTCGATTGGAAGTTCAATGCTAGCACTAGCAGCCCGAAATGGGAGAAGGCCAGATGGGCGTACTTCCAAGAAGGTGCGACGATGCTAGGCTTCAACGACTCTGACCCTGGAATTGTTGCTAAATACTCTGCCAATCGGAACGTCGCTGCCTCAGTCACACCATACGGCAAAGGCTTTGTTGGTCTTGTTGGTCCCCATCCGGAGGCCTATGAATTGTGGTGTAAGTTGTCCTTCCGGGCTAAAACCACAGCTTTGCTAACAGTCTCTCAAGATGAGGACGCCGAGATCAAAAACCCTGAGGGGATTCGAACGGATATCGGATACGACTTTGTAAAATCTACTATTGACGGCATTCTAGCTAGCAGCAACATAACAGGTAATAGTTGTTCTTAAAAGGTCACTCATTAGCAAGCCTCGAAGCTCACGCTAAAAGCAATGTCAGTGATACAAGTGAGCGGCGCCAGCGCTCTCGAAGCGCCTACCGTTGTAGTATCTGCCCTGTTTGTACCATTCCTCGTTCTATCACGTCTACTCGTTATATTATAGGAATATCATTTATAGCACGTCAATTTATGTCTCATAGCTTAGTTTCCTAAGTGCATGCATTGACAAAACCCCCATACACGTCGTTGCTTGGAAGATTGAGCTCGTCAGGATGTACGTTTGCTGTGCTAGTCTACAAACAAACCCAAAACAGTCCAGGGTCTTCAACTTGTGACGGTAGTTCGTCGTCCAGGCACTTCAAGGAACGCATTTACTCCCGCACAAAACTGGCCAGCACTCAGAACAACCAGGGTCTGGCTCCGGCTCATTCTTGTGGTTCTCGCAATCCGCGCTCTTGTATTCAACGACACGCTCGTAAATCATGTGTTCGGGCCCTTGGTTCTCTGCACAATCGCATCCATCTTCGTTCGAAGTGCCACCGCAGTCTTGTGCATATAGATCAAGAGCCTTCTGGTCGTCAATCAATGCGACGACGTATATGCGCTCTCTCGTATCCGCATTGAACTCCTGATACAGCACCATGTTTACGAACGGCTTGTTGATAATGGAGAATGAGTCGCTGCCATCGTGGGCAGATTGGAGGCTTTCAAGAGCGGCGCGACCAATCTGGATCTCTGGGTGTGCTGATAGAAAAGCATCTAACTTTGAGGGTGAACTCTCCTGGCTTGGAGCGACAGCCATCGCGGGTTTCGATCGTTGGGTATCGGTCATGTTTCGAGTTGAAGATAGGGCGATAGTTGTGTTCTTGGCCAATGTGGTATCGTGAGAGGAGGTTAGATGGAACGAGCAAAAGCCCTAGACGATAAGGGTCACCTATGCAGGGCTGATTGCCTCGCGTTCTCTTTCGGAAGCTCAGCCACCTCTGCGCCCTGGAGCCTAACGCCCATGCTCTTGCTTCGCCCTGCGGGTGTACCTAGCCACATAGTTCGGACTCAGCCAAAATGTACACCGTCTAGATGCTTTCGACCAAAGAAAGGTAGCTCGGCTTCATGTGGACGTTGGTGTGCTTGGCAAGCTGAGCGCTAGTCTCGTTGTAGCAGCTAGTGGGTCTGCGCGTATAGGAGACCAATCATATCTTGAGCGAAGCTGCCCAACGCGCAGCGGCCACAGTTCCCGGCTCACCGCGTACGGGCTGGCAGATCTCCCCCATGGTCGAAGGTTCCCGTATCAACAATGCAGAACATACGCGTTTGACTCAGACTGGAGCCTGGTCCTGTCAATCTCTGGTCATTAAAGTAAGGTGAATGCGCCTTTCCACCTGCATATACGCGATGCAAAGCACAAAGCCACCATCAGGCGCACGGAGGGTTAGAGCCTTCTCCCACAAGACGCGTACAGGCTGTATCACCTGGTAGGTCAGCAGTGTGGCTTGTCGCACCCCGTAACACCTGGTTTACCTAATTCGCTCAGCAAAAAAAGACGGAAAAAATGCGACGAGATTGAACCCACATGCCAAAGGTGCACTTTAGCAGGCTTCGTCTGCGATGGCTACGCATCTGCGCCTCTCAAAAGATGGCAGAACTCGAACGCGCCAGTGCTGGCAGCAAAGCCCATCCAAACTGTTTGCTCTTCAAGGGGATCTTCGATCTTCGATCTTCCCAGAACGTTGTTGGTACCAGGCCATCCTCTGGAAACCTACTACTACACTCACTTCTTCACCAACACGATTCACGACATGGAGATATCTGAATCTTTGAACAAGAACTTCTGGCAAAAGGCCTTCCAGGGCCCTAGCCAAAACGTCTCGTGTGTACGACATGCAGTTATGGCTCTTGGCGCCGTCCATTGGCAATTCACAACATGCGACCACGACAAGCCATCAAGTCTTGAAGCTTTTACCCTGTCGCACTACAATGATGCCATATCTGGTCTGATACACGGAAGAGGCACTGCGAACGATTCCCCATCCGATCTAGTCACTATCCTGACATGTTGCGTCTTGTTTGCCATTCTCGAGAGCCTACGCGGCAACTTCAGTGAAGCGATTCGGCACATCAAGTCTGGGACAGAAGTCATTGCGAACCACAAACCCAAAACATACCTACCTAATCGTGATATCGAGGAACTAGCAGCTATATTCCATGCCATTGGCAGCCAAGTCGGGCTCTTCTCCCCGAACCGTATATTCGCAGACATCACGCCATTCATGGTACCGAAAAAGAAGTACAACAAACCCGCTAGAAAGCTTCGGGATCTCGTCGAAGCGGAAGATGTGATGAACACGTTCGATGATGTCATCACGCACATCTCATGGGACTTGGAGCAGGATCGCGACCCTAACAATTCCGAGTGCGAAAAGCAATGGGCAATCTTGCGACAACGATTGCGAGTATGGGATATACAATTCCGGGACATCGTGAAGAACCTAATAGGCACAGCCGAATACACAAGAAACCTAGAAAGAATCGTCAATCTGAAAATTCAGTACAAACTCTGGGAGTTGCTACTAGCCGAGGAGAGCCCTGCAGTCGATTGCGACAACCAGCCCACTGGCCAACTCGACGCTGTAGAATGCAGTCTCCTACTCGACGACCTCGATCGCTTGTGGAGCAAGTCGAAACAACCACTCTACGGACTCAAAACGGATCTCACCACGGCGTTGTTCCAGCTATATGTTTTTTGCGCTGATGTGGCAGTACGGCGGAGGATTATTAGTATGCTGCGGTCGCGGAGGAGGAGAGAGATTCTTTGGGATAGTCTGGAGTTGGCGAATTTCTTGGAGAGGGATATGGCTCGGAGGGCAGCTGGGTACCAGACGGAAATTTGGCCGGATATAGGTCCTTCGCCGGACGAGAGTGCGCTGATAGTGTTTAGGACTTAGATATTGTATTGACATGCGTATAGACTTTGCGTATAGACTTTGCGGGATAGGCGATGATTGGTATCTCGTACTTCTCGCCATCCTGGACTCTCTTCGTTTCGTGTATCCTCGTTTTAATCTGAGAGGACATCTATATGCGACGATGGATTCACTGCCACGACAGAGGTTAGCATCGGGTACAATGAAGATGCTATCAAGAAAGCTAAATGCGACGTAGGTTCCGGATTCATGAAGCGTCAATGGCCTTTTGAAGATGTGCCCGCCTTGATTTTACAAATTGACCGTGCACGCACAGTTACGAAGTCTCATCTCCATGCTCTTGAGGAACATATTTTGCCCAGTCCTCTCGCAACAGTCGTTCCGTCTCATTTGCCGGTGTTGTTATTTCATCTGTACAGTAAATGAAATGTCTTGTCCCTTGGAAGTCGAACCAAAACTGATCTACCTCACAACCAGTCATTGCGGCCTCTTCAAGGCCTATTGCGGTGATCGGACAAGCATGACCACGAAAGCGTCCCAGTCTATCACTATGACATATTCTATAAAATTGAAAATGAAAGTTTCTCTTTTGGGCCCACGTAATGTCCATCCCAAGAGCAGCTTGCCAACACAGCGTGAAAGCTCTATTCTTGGGTGATTCTGCCGCTAATCCCTCGAGACATTGATTTCGAAGTGCGGCTAGAGCGACGTCCATGAAGAGTTGATCGATCGACTTCTCATAATCGACTGTGACGCGTTGGTCATGATCTACCAGCCCGAGTAAACCGTAGACGTTGTCGCGTGGGTCTGCGCATTCATTCCCCACCACATACCTGTCCAGTGCGTCCAATATACCGAGATGTATGAATCCGCCGGTTCTCCGCAAAGAACTATTGCACATAATCCTATATACGCTTGCAGGTACGTTTTGGCGAATATAGTCATATAAGGTTTCAGAATGACACTCCGGTCTCCGTGTGTCATCCACCAGCCATATGTCTTTCACTAGGATCCTGATCTGTTTCGCTAGGATGAACTCTTGTACAATCCAAAGTCGCCTAAAGTACTTGCTGTGGAGGACATAAGTAAATGCCGCTATATCTGCTGCATTCCTCCATACACACGCAGCATCGTACGTGTTTTCGAACTTATCGCATCCGTCCTGATCGGACCATGTAGTATGTGAACTGGGTTTCTCATAGCCGTCGCCCAACCAAGCAACGACTGACGTAGCTTTGCTGTATATATCGCTCATCATCTGCACTTGGTGGTTGCGCTCAACAGTACTCGACTGATGAATGCACAGCTGGTCAATCCACATGTAGCGATCCGAAGGCGTCTTGTCGCGGCGTTTTCGGAACTCAGTGAGAAATTTAAATAGGTTTTCGCGGATTTGAAGCCGTCCGTCGGCGATGAAGATGTCGTGAGACGACGGCGGTGGACCCCAAACGTAGGACAAGGCTGTGTATGGCGGGGCTTCCGAGATTTCGAAGACTTCGATGTCGAGACGTATAGCGTCGTTGCTCTCCAGCGGATCAAGAAGCGTAACAAGTCGTATTTGCTGTGTCGCATGGTCTAGTGGCTGGTATTGGTAGTCGTCGGTAGTCGAGTTAGCGGCGGGAGACATGTTCGCTCCACGACTGCCTTGCGCGTTGACCTAGCATGTTAGTACGTGTCATGTATGCGGCAAGCACCCACATCACCTACCAAGACACCATGTAGCATGCAAAGTAGACTCGGCGTAGGATCAAGCCTTGGGAGGACGTGGGGACTACGTAAGGTTTGTGATGATCGCGATAAGAAAATGATGCAGCATTTTGATTGTAAGCGGGGAAGATGTGCGTGCCAACGTGTTGCTGACTGCGTGGGCTGTGCAGACGTCTGTGGCTTGCACGATTGAGAGTCTGACCAATGAACAGTGAGGCGCCCGAGCAAGCGCTAGACCTTATCAGGCTAGTAGCTGCAGGAGCATGTTGAGCAGATGGCAGTGCAGTGACTGAAGGGACCCTGAGTACCAAAGTCAAAGCAGGTCAGCGAGTAGTACGCGTAATACAGGATGACGATCGTGTGGACATGAATTTGATGGGTATATAGCGCCCTGAAAAGGTATCGCATGGAATCTCTCAGAGCTCCAGAGCCAGGAACCTCAATTCTGTGTAACGAGAAGCTCACGCTTTCTTCCAACCTTCGTGTTGCTCGAGACCAGGAATATCGAGACACTCTGTAGTCCTTAGCCATGCTCTCTAGTCATCATTACCAAACTGATCATCAGTACCACTGCTGCGCCGACGCCGGGTCTCGGTGCTTCGATCATCGTTGCCTGGAGTCGGCTCTGGACGTCCATTGGCTCGCGCCTGGTCCTCAATGATGTTACCATGGCTCCCAGAAGACCGTCTAGCAGGGCGTGAGCTGCCTCGGCGTGGTTGTCGTGGAGCATTTTGCGGGGGACGGTTGCTACCGTCGTTGCTACCAGGTCCTGTAAAGCGTCGAGCTCCGTTAACGCGGTCAGGCGGAAGCTGGTAATACGGGCCGCGCCATCGTGAACTGTTGCGCTGCCCATTGATTGCTTCAGCCTGGCTGCTGTCTCGAATTGCGGGGGCGGGTGTGAGCATGCTGGTATCGGTCTTTGCGCGCTTGGTAGGGGCTGTCCTCATTGTAGTGTCACTGTCGGGGGCTCGACGTCGGGAGCCTCCATTGACACTTCGTCCTTGTAGGTCTTGGTCCTGTAACAATGTCAGCTTTGACCTCGAGAATCACCTAAGACTCGAAGACATACATGAAACTGAGCAACCTGTCGGCGATTTTGACTGAGCTGCTGATCCTGCTTCGTCTTCTCTGGGCGGGCCTTGTCGTCTATATCTTGGTGACTGCGCTTGTCCTTGTTTAGGCGTGCCTCCAATTCCTCAATCCACATGTCCTTGGGGGTGCTCGTGCTTTGTTTCTGTAGAAGTCTTCGATTGCGCTTCTTAAGAATCGCGTTGAGGACGTCTTCCTCAATCGCTCCGCACACTTGAATACGGGAGTCATGTGGGAGGGGAATAACATCCAAGACATTTCCAAAGGCGCCCGTCTTGGGTTGGTATGGGCAATTCGCTTCTATGTCATAGACGCCCTTCTCTGGAACATAGGCGACCTCTTTTCCCTTGCGCTCATCCCAGCAGTAGTATTCTGCATGTTCTACTTTCTTGAGACCGAAGCAATCCACGCGGACTTCTACAGGCTTCGATAATGGTCCGCTGCCTCCTGCAGTGCCGAGCTTCAGAACCTCAAGTTTGGTGGTGTTGTCGATGACGATACCGTATCTGGTCTTGAAACAGAACCAGCCGAACTGCGTCGAGACAGCGTTGGGGTCTTTCTCTTCGCAAAGAACCACATCAGGGAAGTTCACAATCATGCCTTTCACGTATTCATCTTTGTCGACAGGGGTGTGGTCGTTCCATCGTCGTTCCTCGGATTCTCTCCGCCGAGGCCGGCCGATTTGTTCGGAGTCCTCTTGTGTAGACAACATTGTGAGCGTTATTGACTGCCAATAGGCCAGCGCAGAGGCGCCTGTCTGGGAAGGAAGTTGGGCCGAAGGGCGAGTTACTGTGGCGACCACGCAGGGTTTCGTAAATTTGGATTACACGGTCGTGGAACTCGCGCTCCTGGGGTAGGGGGATTGCGTATTCTTTCTCCGCAGCGTAGCGCTGATAGTCTGTATATACGGACGGCATCGCAGGGAGTCAAAGCCGCTCTGGCCATGTGGCGCTATACTGTTTCAGGAAAGAGAGATGGCTGAGATGTAAATAAGATATTGTTGTTACTTAGTGAATGGGAGGACGGAGCGGAACCGTACTTATTCCGCGCTCACCTAGCTGATCAAGCTTTTTGCGCACTCGATTGCCCGCGTTCTCCACAATCGTACACCCTATAGCAATCTACTTTCTTCGCCGTGATCCTTGACAAGACCAAGCACCTAAACCTGGATATTTCCACAAGCAGGCGATCGACGCTTCAGGCAACACTAGACCTGAATTACACAACGACCCTCCCAACATGTCTACCACTGAGACTGTTTTGAAGACCGCTATGAGCCTGTATAGGGCGGTAGCGGGCTATATTCCTCTTATCGGTCGCTGCGAAAGCCAGATCCACCAAGACAACGGACGCACTGGTAGTGGCGCGGAAGAACGTCCAATCTTATCAAACGTCGAAACGTCGTCATTGCCTAGTCAGCTTATGATTACCTCCGTCCAGTCTGGAAAAGTCAAATACGAAACGATGTTAAAACTCCGATCCAAGGCGGACTCGATCAAAGCAGACATTGCGATGGTGAAGGCGAACGAAATCGACGCTCAGTCGACAGTTCAGTGCAAAAAGGCAGCTGTTGAGCGATTAACCCGTCAACTGCAACGTCGGGTTGGCAGCGGAGTAACGAAAGCTCAGCAACGTTGCCTGAAGGTTTTAGTTCGCGAGCGCGACGCAGCGACGAAGACCAAACGAGAGATGCAACGGTTGGTAAAGGCTCTTACGAAAGAGTACGATGGGAATCTCCGCTCCTTTGCTGAAGTCGTGATGGAGCTTCAGGATACGTTCCTTTTACCAAAGGAGAAGGACAATGATGTCATAGCAGGGCAGCATGAGGGCGGATTCGTGCAGGGAGAAGTGGAAGGTCTGCTACAGGAGCACGAGCAAGCTCAGACACAGGAAGACGGTGGTATCCCCGAGGTGAACAATGTCCAGCCGATCAATTCGCCAGGCACCGCCCAAGAGATCGAGAGTAGCAAATCTCTTGCCCGTAACCAGCCTGTGGAAGCTTCGCAGCGCGATGTTCATAACATCGTTGTTAATGCTGCCTCCCTTGACCAGCAAGCCGAGCTAGAGTACATCAACATCGCTGTTGACGACAATGAAACAACGTTGAACCCCCCAGTTGAAGACAAAGGCGGCTCGCCATCCAGCAGAACACACTATTCTGCTATGGACTCCGAAGACCCGCAAGATGTGCAGGATATGGCTACATCAGAAAATGGTGGCGATATTGATGGTCGGACAGTCCACGAAGTGCAAGAAGTCGGGATCGGACAGGAGACCGGAGAAGCACTTCCCCACGAAGATCCGTATACGAAAAGTTCCAAAGAGGAGTGGGATAGGATTGAGCAGGCCATCAAAAAGCTCGAGCGATGTGAGAAGACTTATTGGGAGAAGAAAGAAAAGTTCGAACAGCACTACAAAACGTTTGATGAAAAGCTGGACAAGTTCTGCTCAATCAACCCACGCTTGAGTAGAGCGGATGCAGAAAAGAAGTTCGGTCGACACTTCCTCCAGGTAGGGGGCAACTTCCGTTGTTCTTTAGGTGTAGCGGAGATGTCGCTCAAGAAAGCCCGGATTGAGGCGAAAGAAGCAGGAGTCCACGATTGCAATTCATGGGACCAGGAGTCTGGCTTCCTTTCAGTGGCGGGCGAAGGTCCGGATCCAGAAGACACCGGATACCTGAGCGATAGTCGTGATCACGAAGTGGTAAGGGAGTGGCTGCAGATGCCCCAACGCCCAGAAAAAATGCAGCCTTCTGAGTTCAAGTTCGCGACATCGAAGGTGAGGGTCGATCCTTGGGAGAGCCATTCGACAAGGGGAGACTCAAGCAAACGGAAGAAGATAGACGAAAATGTCGACACTTGGGAAGCTCAGTCCTCCAAAGCGTACTCAAGCAAGCGGAGGAAGATTGGAGAGGATGTTCCTAGGGTGATGCCCAACGACAGCAATGACAGCGCGTATGGCACCGCCAAGGAGGACAGGGGAGACCAGAAGCAATCGCAAAGCCCAAGGAAGAGACCTCGCGCAATGGCAGAGGTAGCCCGTAAGCGACGTGCCCGATCATTCGACGCGCTTCCGGGTCACAAGATTGTCAAAGAGATGTTTTCCGACATGCCCGTAGAGGATCACAGCGTGAGTGTTGGCCCCTCCGTAATAGTCGATACCGAGTACTGACATTTCCACAGGTCTGGATAAAGCGAGATTACCGAGAAGACGTTGTCATGGTTGATGACGAAATGACCGACGACGACACCTGAGCGCAACAAAGTGACGATTGCGAGGTTCGAAGTCGGTGGAGTGGGAGGCTACGAACCAGCGGCTGAAGCAGCTACGTGCCGTTGCCGGATGTAGCAAGACAAGACCGGAGGCGTTGCGTAAAGGATCCCTGAGGGAAGCGACCCATCGCGCGATGAACATAGGCAGTATTGCAATGTTACAAAGCAGCAAGGACTGAACCGGTAGCGTATGCAAGACGCGTACGGCACCGCGTCGAACGCGTCGTCGATGCGGAGAGATCAATCGGCGGAAAGGCAGGGCAGAAGAAGTCGATGCAAAGACATCGGCGAGAACCACCGATGCGAAGACATCAGGAGATACTCCAACCAACACGGCCAGACAGCTCGAGAAGCCACTGGACAAAGTTCAGGGCGTTGAGTATGCATGGAAAGACATGCCGCCGATGCAAAGATAGCAGGGAAGAACTTGGTGCAAAGATGTCGGGAAGAAGTCCGACGCCAAGAGATCGGATAGCACACCAGCCGAGAGGTCTGTGCACAAACTTCGCGATCTTGCAGGTGCGCACGCGCCAGAGATGATCTCAGATTGGGGCGTCACGCCCACAACACCACGTCTGCGGTGTCAACGAGGCTCCACGGAAGAACATAGACGCTGAAAGAGCGTATGTGACAGAACAGGAAAGCGAAATTGCGAAGGTAGATAGTGAACCCAGAGCCGACGAGCCATTCCCAACGTCCGCAATCGATATTCCACCCATACGAAATCACTTTGTTCAATGAAGAGACTCACAAACATTCGGAATACACAACTGACAGCACTAATGCTTCAAGCTCTAGCTATGTCTATGGAATTTTCCATGCCAGCACATAGCCCAACGAGTGATCACAGTCAGTCTTCCACGGTTTGGTGCGCTGGGTTCAAACACCATGTTCAACATCCACACTACCAGACTTCAAGGGTGGGAACTTCACAAATGTCAAATGTCACATATGGTTGGTATATAAGCGCTCATTAAATCTCCTAATCTACCATATCTACAGAACCCTTACATCGTCAAAACACCAGCAACTTAACGAAACCCACTTTTTACCTAGTACAACCCACGTCCAATATCCCAAAACATGCCTTCCTTCCTACATGCTAGCGACAGGCGCTGCGCAGAGTTCATCATGCATCCCGATGCGCACCGTGTGCGTCTTCCAAGCGGTTCCGACCTCTACTTCACACTACCAATCCACTTGGACACCCGACAGCCCATGCCGCCCCAGGACCTGGCCGCACTTGATGCATACCTAGAACGGACCCCACCACATCCTTCAGAAGGACCAAGCGGTCCCACTCACCAGAATAACCTCGAAGTGCGAAGTATCATTAGTGACTGGCTCGAAGGCTCCCAGTACCTCGACGACATGGAGATGTACGCGTGGGAGTCCGGTCATGGCTTTCCGATATTTGATGAATTCGGCATGCCAGTTGACTTTCAGTGGGTGTGGGATGTCATCGCTTTTGAGGGAGGTGAGGAGTTGATCGCCCGTTATGTCGAATACATCAACGATTCTGCTGAGCTACACGCACAAGGTCATGCCGAAGACCACCACGACTCCGCTTCTATAGGCCGCGCTACTCGCACATCCCACACGCCTGCTCCCGGTTCTCCGCTCGAGCAACCTCAGCATCACCGCTTCGGCCGGTTCCGTGTGGCAACCCAGTCCGACGGACCCGTCTCCGTAGGTGGAGCTGACTTTGCAAATATGGACGATTGTCTAGCATTCCTGGATACCCTTACCGACATCGAAGCGAAGTTGCTCAGTAAGAATGTCATACAGTTGGAAGGCGATAGCTCCACTGGATTGCGCATGGTACCTGGACCGAATGCGAAGGTCCTCTCTGAGCGGACTACGCAGGATAAGAAGGAAGCTGTTCAGATTCAGGCATCCCCGGCTGATCATCGAATCCGTCATGTGCATGTCCAACAAGCAGATATTCAACCTGCTCAAATCCACACTATTACAGCTAATCCTCCAAGCCATAAGGTGATCACTCGCCAAGAAGACCAAATTCAACAACCCATTGTTTTCCTCCAAGAGAACCCCGTCAAACAAGAAAAGAAACCCGTCCAAGAGCAGAAGCTAGCCTTTAAGCGCGTAGCATCACCACCCAAGCAGACGGTAGCCGCCGAGCTCGACCCCTTCCGCTTCTACGGCCGCGAAAGCACGCACGGAGTACAAAACCAAGCTGCCAACGACCAGAGGCTGTTGGAAGAGCTCCAAAATCTATGGGATGAGTCCCAAAACCTGGCCGATGAGTACTACCAAGTTTCCAGCGAGCCCCCTACTTGGCGTGCCAAAGATCCACGGAAGGCCTATAACAAGGTAGTAACAATTGATCTGCGCGGGCAAGACGCACCCGGATTTCGACCTCTATTTCCGCCCTCTGGCGTAGATCCTTCTCAGAAGTCCACTCTCGCTCACAAGTCCACGCCCGCTCACAAGACCGCCCACTTCATCTCTGCAGATGCGCGTCGTAAAATCTTCGGCGAAGAACCAAGTGCTCACCGCAGTTTGTCGTTTCAAGAAATCACTAGTCTGTCCAGGCGCCCCAAGGCCACTGGTAGGTCCTCGAGCTACGAAGCTGGCGTCGACGACCCTGCCCACCGCATGTGTGGGACGAGTGCGCATCAGGCGCATGCGGAGGATAGCCCGGATGATAGCACGGAGAGTTCGCCTCGCCCAGCTCCCGGCGGTTCGTGGATGGATGCTCTTGAAGAGTTGATGTCTTGAGTGAGGTACTAGTATCGAAGAGGTTGAGAGGTTGATAACGGGATTGGGGTTGTTGTGGTAGCTAGCTGTGTTTGGTGAAGTAGGATAGTCAATGTATTCCATCTTTCTGCGCATATGCACTCTACAAGGCATCCAACTTACTGCAACACCATCTCACAGTCCATCACAATCGCTCCATCACGCTCACATCAACCAACTCACACAATCCAGTACTTTTGCACAATTTATCCATTCCAATGCCGATACTACCCAGCAGAGCTAGAGAAATCTACGCTATATGGTATGTAAACATTCAGATACCAGCCCAAAAAAAAGGGATATTGTTCATGTCCAAGGAGATTCGTTGTCGTATCCTTGAAGAAAGCCTATTCTCATGCATATAGAAAGCCCATCGGTGGGAAAAACAATCCGAGGAAGACAAGTAAATGGAGCAATGGCCATGCGCGAGCTCCACGAATGTTCCCGAAGAAGAGCCCTGGTATATTTGGTATCCCCATCCGTTGTACCCTTTCCTTGTGGATCTACAAGCGTCATATATCGTCGAAGCCTTCATGTTTGCGCCGGGTTTGAAAAAAAAAAGGAGTAAAGTTATAAGATGAAGAAGAAGACATAAACTAGAACGCGAATGGAAGAAGATCAAGGCGACAGGGGGAATCATGCTTGCTTAAAGTCGAAAACCTTGATGGTGATGTGAAAGACATAAAATGGGGAAACTCCTCGCTATGCTTGACCGGCCGTCATGGTTGTATATAGGCCGTAAAGATGTTGTGCGCATGGCGGATATGCATGAATAAAGGTTTGCGCAGTATCGCTGGTAATGAAGAATAGGTCGACGGGTTGGGGGTATCAATGCAGAGTCGAACACCAAATGCGGAAAAAGACATACTATGCCCTGCTCGGGTTGATGTTCTCCAGCTCGCTGCGCTGGCGCAAGTACTTGGCGGCAAGCTGGTCGCCGCCCTTCATGGACTGCTCCATCCAGTGTTGCGCGACACACATGGTCATTGGGTCGCTGCGGGCGGGGTCTTGCGACGCCTTCCTCTCACGGTTGAGAAGCTCAGTCTTGAAGACCTCGCTGGGCCTGGTGAGCGGCAGGACTGTGCGATGAACAAGCTCGGGCGATGTGAGGTAAAAGATCGCAAGCTCACGCTCGGCCACTGCGTCGCCCTCTTTGGCAGTGATGAGAAGCATGCGTCCGGCATCCTCCATGGTGTACTTGGATAGCGGTTCATCAACCGGAGCTGGTGTAGTCGACGATGCACCAGCCTTCTCGACAGCAGCTCCACTGCTGACTTTGCCTGCATCGCGCTTCGAGTTCTGGGTGATGACCTCATCGACGAGCTCTACCATGATTCGGCACACGTCTTGCTTGAGGCCAAGAGCAGCGAGACCGACATCCCAGAATGCCTTGCCTCGTGCAGTCTTGTCCAGCATCTGCGCAGGCACAAAAGATGCGATGTACTGCAGGTCCCGGAATAGGGTCTTGGGTCGGATGTTGGCGTCGCGGAAGAGGCCTTGGATGACTTCGACGATCATGTCTGTGCTTGGCGGTCCAACCGGGGAGCGTGCACCGTTGCGAGGCAGAGGGGAAGCGTTGCTCACGCGTTCCACGCTCATACTGTGAGAGCGGCGCTCCTCGCAGTTGGCGATGGCTTCCTCGAGGTTTTGTGCACGCGAAGTTTGAGTAGCTGGCTCACGAGAACTGAGCTCTGGCATGGTGCCAAGGGTGGGTGATTGAGGAACTGGGGGAAGAGTCTCCCGACGGTTGTTGTACGAGCGGCCCGTTCGAGAAGAGAGTGATGCTATGATGAGCAGCTCTAGCTCATACAGTGCATGCAGTTTAGAGTATGGGTTGGGATGTGTCTGGAACCTGCCCAACAGCCGTCGGAAAGCAACGTTGTACGGGAACTCGAGTAGCCCAGCCTTCTTCGCTGTGGCATTGCCAACCGAACGCGAAGTCGCGTCGCTGGAAGTCGACGATTGCTCGCCGGCAGATTGGTGAGCGTCGGATGCACTGGCGTGTTGGAAAGTTGCAACAGGCGGGGCCGCTGTTCCACGCTCGTTGCGGCCGAGCGTTTCCAGCGGCAAGTTGCGTGAATCGGGCAGGGTCTGCTTCCGGATGTTCTTCATGCTCTTCTTGGCGAGCTGCTTCTTGCGTTTCCGTTCCTCTTCATCTCTACGCTCGAAGCAGTCGTCTAGCAAATCACCACCGAACCATGAGTCGGTCTCGCTGCCGTTGGCGAAGACCATTGTTCCGAGGTCACTCAGAAGCAGGCCCGTGAGTGTTTGCTTCAGATCGAGCATGAAGCGGCGCTTGTCTTCGTTGACCATTGCGGATTGCTTCAGCATCACCGTACCCTTCGATGATGATGCGGTACGTGGTCGGATGCTTGTGGCGTTGGTAGGAGACTGCGCTTGGGTCTGGAACGGTGACCAGAAAGTAGCCATAGAGTCGATTGCATGAACAGGTGAAGACCCGCCGAAGTAGTCGGGGGCATCCATGGGGTTTCTTCCCCAGGGGCTCTGGTCGAAACTAGAAGATCCATTGCGGTTAGCTGCGGCACGCAGACTACCTTGGCTTGGTCGTTGCGAGAAGTCATGGCTACGAGAACCAGGTCGGCCGTGGGTCTCGTACTCCTCATCACCGGCGATGGAAAGAGTGCCAACACCAGTCAGAAACAGGTCGCCCTTCTGCCGTCCACTCTCCAGAATTTGTTGGTCGCGCTTGTAGAGGTCGCTGGCCCAGAGCACGGGCCCATCAAGGACGCCCTCACCAATGACCTTGGTGACGCACTTGTCAACTTCGAGACAGAAACGATGTATCCGCTCTTCGCCTTTGCAGAAGTTCTCTACGCTGTATTGCATAAGCCACTTCAGCGTGATTTGCGACTGCTCGTCTGACAGCTTGTTCGGGCCACCGAAATCTTGAGAAGCTGACATGAGGTCAACTAGCTGAGCTTCGTTCTGACGTAAGAAGCTGTTGCTGTTCCGCGGTTGAGAACCGGACGGGCCCCTGACATTGAGCATCTTTGACTGTTGGTCCATGATCTTAAGAGCAAGCGCAACGTTCCTGGCGTCCTCATATGGCTTGGAAGTGCGGACATCTGTGATGTACCACATCTTGTCTCGAAGATTCTTGAACGTGAGCATCATCTCTTCGACCATACCATCTGACCGTTCCTGCGACTGCTTGAGCCACACGAACCAGGCCTCGAACTCTTCAATAGCATTGGCTGCCTTGCTGAGGAGGTCGCGCGGGCTGCGAGAGAAGTAGTTGAGAAGGGCTGCGTAGCCGTTCTTGACCAGTGTCGGAGAGCTGAGTCTTTTCAGACTCTGCAATGTCTTGTAGTACATATGCGCATTGACGAAATCGGATCGTGCTTGACACTGGTACATGGCGGTCTCAAGCATGGTGACCAGAACTGAGTTGTTCTCTTGTTTCTCGCCGACTTGAGGGTTGCTGTGACTTCTCGGAAATTGTGGTGAGCGCCGTGATGAGACGTTTCTTTGGCTGGCAATCATGTTGGTAAGCTGGCTTTGGCTCTGAGTCGAGTTGTATGGGTTGCGTGAACCGAGATTTTCGCTAACGTTGCGTACTGGGCCACGTCCACGAGTGCTTTTGCGGGTCGTCATTCTGTTGCTGAAGTTCTTCGATTCGCTGTCGGGCGCAAGATCCTTTGGAATCTCGTACTCCTCCACCAGCTTGGCGATTGCCTCTTTCAGCTGGTGGTAGTCGTTGCCAAGATCAAACCTGTTCCCGCCCTCTTCATCGTCGCTGCTGTCGCTGTCTGGTGAGTCCTCGTCGTGCTCATCCTCATCATCAAAGTCTTTGCGCATACGCGGCTTTAGCTGCTTTCCATCGGCGGAGATGTAAAGGACAGCCCATCGCTCTGCGCACGGATGGCAAGAGCCTGATGTGGCTTCGAAACCTAGGAGGCGAGTCATCTCAGAACATGCCATTCGCAGCTGTCTTCCGTATTGCTCTGTTGGTGCAGGCTTCATCTCTGTCGGTGATTCGCCGGATACCGGGTTGCTGTCCAGAAGTGGCTCACGCGAGGTCTGGTCGCTGGTCATTGAAGAAGCACTGGCACTCAGGATAGAGCTTGCGTCAGTCACAGAAGCGGCGGCATTGCGGAATGGAACCGACATCCCAGACATGGAAGAAGCAGAGGAAGCCAGACCAGTACGGCGCTGGCTGTCATTGTCCATGTGGCTGGACGACGGACGTCGCTCCGGGAACAGAGCGTTGACCAGGGTGACAATGTCGGCTGGTGACAAGACAATGAATGGCTGAACTTCCACAGTCTCTCTGGGTGATGTTATAGCCTTTGCAGGAAGCAAAATTGGCTTCGAGGGTGTTTTGGTGTGCTTAAACCGAGCGAGGATGTTCTCGATGTGTGTGCGGATTTCAGGAAGGATTTCGTTTTTCTGCTTCCTACAATTTTGTTAGCTGAAAGCCAGAGGCTACTACAGCATATCGCCGTACCAGTTGTAGGTCATGTTCACGACATATTTCTGCGCTCGGATGGCGACCTCTTTCAGGATCTTGATGCGAGCATGCTCACTGATGTGGTGGCCAATCATGATGCCATGGGTCTGTTTGGTGTTAGTTTCGCAGTTCTTGCGTCAGAAAGGGTAGACATGCCTCGGGATGGATGATGGCGTTCATGAGGAAGGTAGAGAAGAGCCAACGCGAGACAAAGAAATTTTGCGAAGCCCTGCGCAGGCTCTTCTCGTCCTCCAATTTGCGAAGGATGGCATTTCCAATCTCCAAGACTCCTTCTGGAATGCCGCCGGCACTGGGCTCATCGTCAACGACCTCGAACAGACGCTTGACAGCCTTGTCAAAGAACTCGTCTGCTGCGATGGTGTCCTTGCTGGAGCGCGGGGTCGCTTGCATTCCGGGTCGTGCGGCCTGCTCCTCGGGCTTCTCGAGCAGGAACTGGCCATCCTGGAGGGTCTGCATAAGATAGAGCTCCAAGTTGGTCTTCCCGGGCCATTCTCGCATGCCGGCCCAAACATCGAGCACAGTGCGGATGAAGTTGGGGTTGTTGTTCTTAATCAGCTTAGCACAAACAGTGGCCCATACATCTGTGCGGCGAAGGTCCTCTGCCGAGTCGGGTCCGGATGAATTAGCGAAGATGGTGTAGACGAGGGCAGACAGCGGATCGTGGCGCTGGAAAGATAGCAGACGTTCTACCGGGCTTGTTCCTTGCTGTTGGGCCTTCTGCGAGGGAGCGTTGCGGCTACGGGCGTTTGCAAACATGACCGAGTCAATCGGGTCCATGGTCTGACGGAAAGACGTAAGAGAAGTGAGCTCTTGCTGCGAAAGACTGGAAATACGAGCAGCAAGAAATTCTGGGTTCGTACGGATTTCGGAAATGAAATCGAGAAGGTTGTCCAGAATCTTGGACGGGACTTCATTGAGGAAAGTGGAGGCAGAGAGGGGCTTCTCGCTCCGGAAGTTCTTGGACTTGCCAAACTCCAGATCCGGCTCCAAGAGGGCATACTGCCGTGTGGCGTCGCACGAGTTGCGGACATCGTTGAGGGCGTTGTAGAGGGAGGCGAACGACTTCTTGTCGTCGGAGCGGAAGTTGTCGACCAGCGTGCGGTAGGCCAACTCGCCGCAGTGTACCAGACGTGCGGAGAGGGCGCTCGAGACCAGCCAGCGGTGCAGGCGCACGCGGGCATGCGTCTTGCGCTGCTCCTGGTAGCCCTGGAGGCGGATCAGGTGGGCGAGCTCGGCGAGGGAAGTCGCGGACGGTGGGATGGCTGCAGTCGGCAGGTACGAGTCGGTGTAGGAGGAGAGGTCGGCGGGCAGCAGGCGCGGCAGGCGGCCGGCGGGGGCAGACATGGAGGCGGGTATCTGGGGGCGCTGGAGTTGCTGGTGGCCATGGCGGTCGGCGTGGACGTCTGGAGTTCCGCCAGGTCGGCTGCCCATGGTGGCCGGTGGTGGTTTGGGAGCGCGAGGTGAGGGCGACCTGGGCGGGCTGTGAGACCTAGGCGGAGCCTCAACGGGCGGGTCGTCGACTTGAGAAGTAGTGTGCGAGGGCGTGTGGCATCTGGACGACACATGGGTGACGGTGGGCGACACGGCTACGAGAAAGTCAGCGTCGGCTCGCCTGCCAGCTCATCGTACATGCACAGAGCAGCGCATTGATGCCCGCGCCAGCTATTGGCCGGAGACGCGCTCGCGCACGGGGGGGATAGCAGAGCACGGGGAGGGAGATGGGCACCTACGCGGAGTGCTGCCAGCCTGCGCCGGCGAGGCTGTGAGTTGGGTTCGTCGCATCATGTCGCCATGAGAGAGCCCCATGGAAGCCCTACGGAAGGTGCGGACCTCAAGAAGGTGGCAGAGATCCCCTACGGCATTGCCAGATGGGGCGGTAGTCTTGGGAGAAGAAGAACTGCTTTGGGCGCGCTCTCTCCACCGCGCTCGACGTATGCGCTGGCGCGTCTTGACTCTTTAGGTGGTAATGATACAGAAGCGAGGCAAAAGAAGCGTGATTGGGCCTCGTCCTCGAGTCCCTGTAACAAGTCACGACTGCAGCTCAACGGCCCCCGACTAATCCCATACTACTGCTAAGCCGCCAGCCGCCTAGAGAGCATACCGTGTGCGAAATACAGCGGGGGAGCTGCTTCAGATTGGTGGCCGTGCCAGACCGCCAGACTTGCCCACGGCCTCCATGTCGCCATGGAGCCGTCCAGGCGATGACTTGCAGGAACAGCACATCGCAGTGGGACGAATGAGGACCAGCCCGCCGAATGCCTCAGCTCAGACCCTCGCCTTCCCACACCAGCCATCCCCGCCTCGCACAGAGACTCGTCGACAACGCACGCTTTGGATCGGCGCCGTCGTCGCTCTGATGGAAGCTTCGGCGACGCTCTCCCGCCGCTGGTGCTGGCCGTGTTGATGTCGCCATAGAGAGACTAGGCGGTATCGCTGGCCGCCTCTGCGACCGCCCCTCAACGCTACCCCTCCTCCCTTCACCACGGCACACTGCCCTCACGAGCAGCGCAACTCGTAAACTCTCAAACACGCTTCGCCGCTGCAGCTGCAGCGCCAATACAGACGACGCCCCTCAGCTAATCGCCTGCGCGCAGCTCTGCTCGCCCTCCTGACGTGACGGCTGGCGAGTGGAGTCGCCCTCTTCCCCTGCGCTGCCAGCGCATGGCTGTCAAAAAGGACCATGCCATGCAACATGCTGCACGCCAAAGCATCGCGCTGCACCGCTGTGAACCCATGTTTTCCCATTCATCTCCCAGTGCATGCCTAGTGCCTCGCAATCCTCGACATCATTCATCACTCCGCCGTGCATATCCAGTCGCCATCCAATGAGCCGCACCGTCACACCACATACTAAACTCTCTGCAGCATCTCCTGCTTGGGGCTATCGCTGCAGTCGCTGCGGAGCTTCGTTCCTTTTGCATGTTTGCAGTCGCAGTGCGTCTGCCGCTATATCCTGGTGCATGGCAACTCAATCGCGATCGTAATATTACGAGATAAGAATATTCTGCGTGGGCGTTGAAATGTTACATTGAACATGTTTCGTTTCCAGCTGGCTATCGGAGATCGTCGACCATCTGCCGGTCGCGTGTAATACCCCGCCACACGATTGCCGCATACAGACCGCTCCTTCTTCAGGTACCCATGGCCATTCCACGTACTCTACCCAACGGCATTTGGGCTGACGGTTGCGCTGCCCAATCGCTGCTAGGCGCCTATCTACAATGCAAGACATGCGAAATCGTGGCGATCCCCGCTAATCCGACACCAACGCGCCAGCGTAGCGCTCTACCGGCACCATTGTACCCGATCGCTGCCTCCGCGACTCCATCACAGCTTGCCCAGAACCCATAGTCAAGGCATGGCTTCCCTGAGTAGAGGAGCGACACGTTTCCGACTGTGCTGCACTTGTCGCTGCCACCAAGTCTTTCTCCACTCGCTCTTGCTGTCAATGTCGTCGGAGCCCTGCCAGTCCTCCAATCCCAACTCATCTTTTGAATTCGTGGCAAATGTTTTGGCAGCCGACACGGCGCCGTCGTTGAAGGCCCATAGTAACAGTTCTCTCTGGAATTGCCCATCTGCACCCGACGACGTGGTCATCAGGGAATACATGTCCAATTCACGCTCCCTTGCAAAGTTCTCCAACGCTTTGAGGAACGCGTCGGATGCCTGAGCACCTGCTTCGTCGCCGGCTTTCTTCTGGAGGAAATCTATAGGCTTGACGACTGAACTAACACCGAGCTTTCGCCCACCCTGGTCCCATTGCTTATAATCCTTCCGAAGTATGTCGTGCAGCTTTAGACTTCCAATGTCCTTCTTTGCTGCGTTGATCTCCTTGTAGAAGCTGGTGCGGTCGAAGCTTGCAGCCAGCGGGGGACAGAGCATGATCTTAGCTTCCAGGTACTCGACAGCCTTACGGTCATGCTCGGTCGTTTTGTTCTCGTCGTGGAGATCGGCCGTATCGATGAGAATGCTGGCCAGTCCCAACTGGGCGACGTCTGCATCCCAGCGCTTGACAAAGGCAGCGTCGTTGGACATGCTGTCACCCTGCGCATGGGCTGCCCCCGAAGACAAGGCAGACGCGGAAGCCATGTCCCATGATGGCTGGCAGTAGTTTGCAATCAAGCTAGTGCAGCTGCCACACTTCTCGATTATCCTCGGCTCGTCGCCTGTGTCTTCCGGTACTTTTTTCTCATCGTCATGATGATCAATGACACCAGCGACACGCTCTGCATAGATTTTGCCCAATTGGCCTTGCAGCGCATTGTGGTCTACCAAGATCCATTTGGTATTCTCAGGCGCGAGCTTCGACTGTATGTCTGACAAGGCGGGAAGGTCATCCAACGTGATCAAGTGCTTTGACTCAATATTGGCGTGCTTAAACACGGCCAAGTATTCCGGTCGTAGCTGAATATCGGACGCTGGAATATTTGTGATTGGTACGTAAAGTGGGCTAAAGGCATTCTTGGGCGGCGACATGGACCGGAGGTATGCGTACAAAATGGAACATGACATCGAATCAAGGTCTGCATTTCATGAGTATGCAGCGCCATTGTGGAGCAGGAGTCATGCTCACCCGCAGACTCATTGCCAATGACGAATGTAATCTTCTGACTAGTTTCAATGGCGCTCCGGAGAGCGCCTCTCGCGTTTGTAAGAAAGGCTCGCAAAGAATTCCTCGGCACCGCCATGGCTGTGTTTAGCGGTGAGACGTGTGTAGGTTTTCGGAGGGTGGAAGACGACGAGCGAATGGTGTTCAAGAATGGAAGTGACGTAGAAGGCGCTCGGACCACGCCACGTGCATCACGAGGGCAAGAAGGCGCGATGACAGGAATGTGGTGGGCAAAGCGACGTTGGATGTGTGTGGGTGTGAGATTTTTCATGTCCAGATCGCGTGATGCTTGGGGAGCCGATTGTATTCTTTAGTGTCCTTGCTTTGCTACCTACCCAGCACTTGGAAAGGCGCCGCATGCGCGGAGTGGCCCATGGAGGCTTTGACTGACCTCGACAATACACTTCGCGATATCCTCAGTGACGTGCCTATGCAATCTCGACGCTACCTGCCGGGACTCCTCTAGTACTCCGTAGCCGACGAGCAAAGAACTGCATGATGGGCAGCATCTCGTCGCGGCTGCTCGGCATGCCATCGCCGTTCTTCTTCCACTCTTTGAACTCGATATATTGGAAAGCATCCTTCAGCTTCGTGGTCGCACTGTCGGTGACTGCAGACTTCTTGTCTGCTTTGCAGATCAGCACTGGTGTCTTACTCTTCTTCTCCAAGGCCTTCAGCGGCACTGATTGGGATAGAGGCCCTCCGATACTGATCACCCCGCCTAATTCTTCCTCAAGTTGGGCAGCACCCTGCAGTGCGACCATGCCGCCTTGCGCGAACCCAAAGATCATGATCTCGCGCGCTTTGTAGCCGCATTTGCCGATGAGACCTTCGCGAATGACTTGATCTAGGACCAGAAGTGTGGACTTCTGGACGCCGGTATCCATGTCCATCTCGCCAGTAGTGGAGTCAAAGATCATGTCTTCACCCCAGTGCATTCCACCGAGATCGAACGGCAGCGGGTTCGGCGCTTGTATCGCAATGCATGCTGTTTCTGGGAGATTCAGCTGCTCGCCGAGCTTCGTAAAGGACGCATTCGTATCGCCGAGGCCGTGTAGGAGGATCAAGACGTTCGTGGGTGGTTGCGAAGCCGGCGCTGCATAAGTTAGCAAGGGTAAGAGCGACTCTGGAGATTGCGGCGTACGTGGCGTGATACTCAAGGTTACCGACGATGGAAAGTCAGCTTTCGTAGGGAGTCGGCCCGGCATGTTGTCGCGAAGATGGGGTTGTGGCTGAGTACGTGGTGGAGTTGGAGCACCTGAGACTCGGGAGATAATCGCGCGCTAACTAGCCAAGCTTTCTACCATGGAACAAGCAACAGTCCCAGCTATCCTACCTGTGGCCAGGCTACAGTATTGGCACGAAATACCAACTTTCATCTCACATTCTGTGGTATTTTCCATGAGGATTTGGAACCTCTTGCAGGCGCAGCCCCTCAGCCCGCGAGTCTAGACGCTCCGTCATACAAGGCTAAGCTTTACCAAGGAAGCTTGTTTGACTGTGCCGAGCGTCCCGTTGATCTGACGTCCACATCCTGGCCCATTACGCACGCGTCTATACCGCAACAGGTTCGTCAATATACTTTCAAACGTGCCGACACGAAGAGTGAGCCACTCAGATTAAGATGTCAGCGGTCTGGTGCGTAACGTGGCGCAGGAATGAGCTCAAGGACCCTGCATGTGCTTCACAGCTGAGCCACAAGTGGTCCCTGGATGGCTGAGCGCGAGAAGAGAGGGGTACGATCGGCCTCGATGAGTGATTTGTTACTGCCAACAGATGCATGAATGCTGGCCGACTATGACGCCGCGTGGCAGCGGTTGTCCGAGGAGAGATACTTAAAGGCTGACAAAGTACGCCTCCAAAATGAGCACTACACCCAACTACTGCACTGAAATACAGACACAAGTTCAACATCACTACTTAGTCTTTCGTCTTCACATCATCAACTATCAAAATGGGTTTCTGGGGTCCGTGTGTCTCACTTCTCGAAGACATCTTCCACTGACTCCACTACAGACAGGAACGAAGACAACTACCAGCAGGTCTACGAGAATGACAACTTCGAAGAGAACAAGTCCAGTCTGGGACACGAGATGATCGCTGGAGGAGCTGCATTCGCAGGCTTCAAGGCATTTGAAGACCACCAGCGCAAAGAAGGTATGTATCTTCACGTACTTGATCTTATCACACACTGACGTCGTCTTAGGCAAGCCGGTATCCCATCAGTTCGCCAAAGAGCTTCTTGCCGGCTTCGCAGGCGCTGAGGTAAGCATCACCGTGTGACGGTATATGGGATGGAGGCTAATTGGACGTCTGTAGGTTGACAAGCTCGCTGAGACCAAGGGCGAGGACTGGTTCGACCGCGAGAAGGCCAAACGCGACGCAGAGCACCATGCAGAGCGCATGTACGACGAGCACTACATCGACAACCACGGCGCGGACCAGTACGACCCACAGCAGTACGGTCGCCCAGAGAAGTTTGAGAGGCGCGGATGGTAGCGGAGGAGAGACGGTTATGATTGGTCAAACCCGTAGAAGCAACCAAGAATCCAATGAAGGACTAGCTCGATCCATTTGAGACCAGTGCTCTGGCCAGCCCCTCGGTATGATCAACGTGTTTCGTGAACAGTGGTAGCTGTGTGTCTATGTCGACGTATGTGTTTATCTGGTCTTGTGCTGGATGCTTCTGAGGGGCTTCCACACCTGCAAAATACAGGATCCCTAGCTATGACGTTGTCGCCAATGCGCCAATAGCTGCCAAGGGGAACATGATTCGTGCAAATCTCCTCCGCGGTACACTCAATCTCATCGTGACAGCCCTCGCAACCACGGTTTAACTGCTGGAGGTAGCACGCGACCATCTTCGCATTTACTAACCCTTATCGCATCCGTGAAACATTTTACAGTGTGCCTTCGCGGAACCTCATGCATCGACGAGAAACGCGAACGCGCTTTTGTGCCCCCCATTGATCGTGTTTGGGTACTGACGCGCCGACGAGACGGTCATGAAGTTCGCAAAGTGAGACGACGCACCTAAATAACTCCATCCACGGGACTGACGGCAGTAGAGAGCTAGAGCGCGATCTGGTACCGGAGTGGCGGCTCAAGTACTTAGACTACAAGGTGATGCCGACTTCCGCTAGCCGACGCTTAATACCACAGACGACTGACGATACCTCAGGTGGGCAAGAAGAAGCTCAAGGCCATCAGTCGCGCCCTCCGCAATGTCGAATCGACCCCACGCCTCCGCCGCCGCGGCACCCAGATCCTGCCCTCGCCCTTCGACGCCGCGCCCAAGTACACGTACCTCAACCGCGACCAGACGGGCAGCGCCAGAGACCCCGAGGACCTGAGGGCGCTTGCTATCACGAACAGCCGCAGCCAGCACAGCCTGCGCCAGAGAGCGAACAGCAACCAGAGTGGCCGCACGCCCGAAGAAGAGCCATTGGCACAGAGCGAGACGAACCGCCGAGACTGGGCACACAACTACGGCAGTTTTGAGGGAAGCACATCGGATGGCACCACCAAGACCGGCACCTCTGCAGACAAGGCCAAGGCACCGCCGTCCTTGAAGCTGCCTGGGGCTGCGCTCGACCCTGAGAACCCTTCTCCGCAAGGAGGAGCGGCGTCTGGCGCATCGCTGCGAAAGCAGAAGACAGTCACGCTTCCTCCGCCAGCAGAGAACGACAACGACAATGCTTTCGAGGTTGGCAAGACGGTGTCGCCCCACAAGCATCACAACTCGCTGCCCAATAGATACAAGAGCGTCTTCACCCCCAAGCGCATGAACTCGCTGCCCGGCCCCATCACTGAGCACAAGTCGCGCCCATCGGTACGCCGCCTGTTCTCACTGAGCAGCAAGACTCCCCCAGACAGTCCGGGCGACGTCCCCCTCGAAGCCTATCGCGACCTTGACTTCCGACAAGCCGAGTTCTTCAACTTCCTCGATGGCGAGCTGGATAAGATCGAGTCGTTCTACAAGCACAAGGAAGACGAGGCTACCAAGCGTCTGAACGTGCTACGCGACCAACTCCACATTATGCGAGACCGACGTATCGACGAGGTCATCAAGCGTCAGACGGACAAGATCAATGCGAAGGCCCACAAGAAACACGACGGGCATCATGTGCTGAGCAACGGTCAGAACAGCAGCTCGGGCGACGAAAATCAGCAGGCCAACGGGAACGGGAATATGGGAAACACTCTCAAGGACACTTTTCTAAACCCCATAGACGCCGCGTTGGACGCCATTAACGCGGGCAAGTACGGGAAGAGCACCAAGAACATAACACAGCTTGCGACCCCAGCGGCTCTTCAGCCCAAGGACCATCCCGATAGCCGTCGCGACTTTGCTAGACGGCCAGATCTGCCCGACGTGCCATACCAGACAGCGAAGCGCAAGCTCAAGGTGGCACTGCAGGAGTACTACAGAGGGCTTGAGCTTCTCAAGTCCTACGCGTTATTGAACCGGACTGCCTTCCGGAAAATCAACAAGAAGTATGACAAGACTGTCAATGCGCGACCGTCATCGCGGTACATGAACGAAAAGGTCAACCAAGCCTGGTTCGTGAACAGCGATGTCATTGAAGGGCACATTCGAGCAACGGAAGACCTATACGCGAGGTACTTCGAGAAGGGCAACCACAAAGTCGCCATCGGGAAGCTACGCATCAAGATCGCACGAGCAGGCGATTACACAGACAACACATTCCGCAACGGTCTGCTATTGTCGGCGGGTGTCATACTTGGCATCCAAGGTCTCATCAAAGCAAACACTATCGCAGATTTGCACAATACTGACGGGAACGAGTTCGCAGTAAACACGAGCTATCTGTTGCAGGTGAGTTCATCCAAACCATGGCTAGGGTAAAGCTAATATTTTCAGATATATGCCGGCTACTTCCTCATCAACTTCCTTCTTCTCCTATTCACTCTGGCGTGTCGAACCTGGCACGAGCACAAGATCAATTACGTCTTCATCTTCGAATATGATACCCGCCACCACTTGGACTGGAGGCAACTTGCGGAGGTTAGTACTCGTTCCGTATCTGGCACGCTGACACTGACGTGGCATAGCTTCCTTGTTGGACTTTGTTTATGCTTGGACTGTTTATGCAAATCAACTTTCATCAGGTTGGGGGAGATCGACTCTATCTCTACTACCCAGTCATTCTTATCGGTATATCGGTCGCGCTTTTGTTCAATCCTCTGAGGATAATGTACTTCCGTACTCGCATGTGGCTGCTGTACTCCCTGGCAAGTTTGTTGATCAACTCGTGCGAGACCACTTCTAATGCCTCGCCAGTGGCGCCTGTTGCTCGCTGGTATATACCCTGTCGAATGGCGAGACTTCTACTTGGGCGATATGTTCTGTTCTCTGACCTACAGCATGAGTGTAAGTCCGCCGAACCCATCTCTGCTTCAAATCGCTGACCCGCCTAGGGCATCGCACTGTTCTTCTGTCTCTACGCGCACGGCTGGGACAATCCCAACCAATGCAACTCGTCTCACCTACGCGTTACCGGTGTTATGACGACGTTGCCGGGTATATGGCGATTGATGCAATGTCTACGACGTTACAAAGACACTGGAAACAAGTTCCCTCATCTGCTGAACGGCGGAAAGTACATCGCAACCATCCTGTTCTATGTCTCCACCAGCATCTACCGCATGGACCAAAAACCGTCCACCAAGGCAGTCTTCATACTGTTCGCAGCCATCAACGGCATCTACACGAGCTTCTGGGACATCTACTACGACTGGAGTCTCGGTGACCCACATGCCAAGCATCCCTTCCTGCGTAAGGAGCTGGGATACAAGAAAGTGTGGTGGTACTACACTGCTATGTGCATTGATCCGATCTTGCGGAACAATTGGGTTATGTACCTGGTCACGCCCCTGCAGCTTCAGCACTCGGCGACTACCTCATTCTGTGTCTCACTCAGTGAGATCTTCAGAAGAGGCATGTGGTCCGTATTCCGTGTCGAGAACGAGCACTGTACGAACGTCGGTCGATTCCGCGCAAGCAGAGATGTACCACTGCCGTACTACCTCCCCTTGGACGCAGAAGAGGAAGAGGACCATACCTCTGGCATCCCTCGAGCACCTACCCTCATCGACGAAGAACAGCCCGACGAGGCTCGTCCCTACACTCCAACCGAGAACAATAACCAAGTCCGTCGCCCAGCTACAGCTTCAGGAGCAGATCTCGAACACTCCCAGTCAAATACGCGCAAGCGCCGCGGCCCTCAAGACGACTTCCGTCCTTCTCCTCTCCAGCGCGCGTTCACTCATGTCGGCGAAATCTTCCGCGACGCCCACGCTGAGGACTTTGAACGCAAGACGAAACCTGAGCTTGGCCGCGATCCTCGCGAATCGAATAAAGCCGATGACGACGACACGGATGATGATTCGGATAACGAGGACGAGCAGGAGCAGGAGGCGTTGGTCAACGCCGATGGCAGCGATGGCTCGGATAGTAGACATAGCATTGCTGAAGTTGAAGTCGACGATGAAGTGGCGGATGAAGAGGAGCAGAGTGCGTTGTCGAGAATACGCGAGGACTTCAATATTGGAGTTACTGGGGCGCGCAGTGATCATACGCATCAGAAGTAGTCTGCGATAACAACGTGTAGATGGCTTGGTTGTTGATGCATGGGTCCGGAGATGATGGTCTTCGCAATGGTTTCGTTTCCTTCGTCCTAGTTTATAACTATTCTTTTCAAGCTTCTACCCCAGATCACTTTGCGACCCAAAGTCTCCTCACTCTTTTTCCGACCAACCTCGGCACGCCCGTCTCTCTCTCCAGACAGCCGTTTCGGCGCCTCTCCAATTTGGTATTCCGGTGCCTCTGCCTATCGCTGTGGAGGAGAAGAAGACGCCCCTCTGTAGCTTGGGTTACACCCCGGACCAGATTCACATCGGAGCTTCCCGTCCGCATCGGCTCTCTCGGTACCGAAACTAATAGTTTGGCATTGCATCAAAAGTCTTCCAGCGTTTTGGTACAGTATTTGAGGGTGCAGTTCTCGTCGTTGGTAGAGTGGTTCACGTAGGAGACTCGACAAGGGTCTGATGAGATCACAATTGCGAGTACCCATGGGCGTTTCATGGATACAAGTACTCAAAGTGCCCTCTAAATCTCAACGACCGCACCATAACAGCCTCCAAAATACCTTGGGCCACATTATTAAGATTACTCAACCCCCATCCTCACCCATCAACATGACACAAAAACAACACCTCCACCGCCTCATTTCTCGAACCTTCCTCGCCCTTCCTCGCCTATTCTATTTGTCATTCTACGTTGAGATCTGCATGCGCCATGGTTGCCACATGGAAGATTCCACGTGGAACGGAACATAAACAACGTGGAACGGAGCAAAACCAGATTCGCGGAAACAAGCCAAGATGTAATGATGAGCCTCTTGTAGGCTTTGTTGCGGTTAGCACCAGCGAGCTAGTGACGTGCACGTCACCGCTGGGGATGCTTTTTCCCCGCCAAGAGCCAATGGCATGGGGCGCTAGGTGGATATCAAGGAACATCAAGGAACGGTAAGGTAGAAAAAGGTGTTTCAGCGACCGAGTCTTCGGGCTCTCTCTGCGTGAGGCTGAGGCTGGGTGCTGTTGAAGAGGAAAAGAAGTGGCGAATGGGGTAGAGGGGAGTGAGTCGGAGGTGGGCTGGCGATGTAATCTCGCGAGTCATGATCAGTACTTACATCAGGATGATGAGATGAAAGAACGAGTATGAGAAGGAACAGGGCAATAAAGGAGATGAGTGTGGTAGGGAATATGGGATCGGATGGATGGCTGGCTAGATGGGTAGTTCATGATGAGACGGCGTCTTGGTTAGTAGTAGGTTAGCAGTTGCTCGTCCTCGCCGAACACCCCACGGCGCACAAACCTTCTTCTCGCTCGCTATACGTATGGAAATACGACGGAACACAGCCCGAAAGAAAGAACGTTGGTCAAAAGAACCATTGTGTTATCCGTATCCGAAGTCGAATGTCTAAGAGTGTAAATACTAGATTCATGCACTCCTACACATCTCATGCTTCAAAGTCTCTCCATCAATTACACTTCCGAGGTCTTCACGGACTCACCAAATTCTCAAACCACAAGCCTTCAGTCTACAACCCAAAACTTAGACCTACTTCTACTTCTACTTCTCCGTTCCAAATCGCAACCAACCACCCACGTCCAACTGCCAAATCTCAACTCCTCGACAATGCCGTCAGCAACACCCTACCGCTGCTCCGGCTGCGACTTCCCCAACCCGGCCTCTCACAGCGGCGCTTGCCTCAACAATATTGCCTACTGCCCCAAATCAAAAGGCGACTGGTTCTGCGCCAAATGCCCAAACATTGTGCGCATCACACTGGGCTGTGATAAGGATGGCGTGTATAGGTGTGATCAGTGTGGTGCGGCGTTTGATGCGAAGTACAAGTATACGCCGCCGGTCAGGAGTTGGAGCTCGGCGGAGAGGAAGAAGGGGACGGAGTATGAGGGGAGGTGAAGAGCGGAGGGTCATGCGCTGAAGATCAACTTTTACGGGAGAGGGAGCGGGCGGGTTGTGAGCAATACGGTGGATAAGATGAGCAGTCATAGTGTATCGGTGCGAAGGATGCGAAGGATTCGAAGGATGGAAAGCGACACTTCGTAATATGACGAAGTCAGGGTCCAGAAGACAGCTCGCTTAAGTGCGCTGCGAAAGACTGCCCATGTGTCCAACGCCGAAGATGCGAATACGGAAGATGTACATGACAAAGTCGAATATTCCCAGTTTGGATCGGGTTATACGGAGTTTATAGAGTGATATTTAGACGGACATGCTAGTTCGCATCGACAGCGACAAAATGACTTTTAGGTCAGTGCGGCATCACGGGCCAAATAGCGGGATAGAAACGAGGCGTTATCTATATACAACAGGTGTTATATCTGTGAGTCTTCTAAGTCGTCACTTCGGTTGTGTTGTAGGTAGTACAGCCCCGCCATGTTCAGTCAGACGTTATCATCAGTCAGTGACTTCAATGCAACGACTCCATCGAAACACTCGATAGAGCCAATCTTTTGACTGTAATGAGTAGTTTGATGAGCCAGATGTGGTTGTGAGTATGCAAAATGTGTGAGTCTTCACCGGTATAAATTGCGTTTCTTGCGCGCCTTCTATCTAGGTGCATCACAACAGCAGAAGTTACTTATCAACCACGAGCATCTATATACTCTTACAATTTGCATCGAGCAAGGTAGCGACATTGATTCGTCCTGTCAAAACTACTGCTCTCGACTGAGCATCCCTCAATCAAAAACAGAAGGCGACCTATCACTTCACGAAGTAAACCTTGAAAACGCCATCGCATCACCCAAAGCTACCACCACGTTACCTCGTCCTCCAAGTCTCCTCAAATCCCCCAGCAAGAAAAGCCAAACATGCCCGGGGAATTGACATGGGCTTGCGCTTGGTGCAATTACTCCAATCCGGAATCTCACAAGGGAAAATGTACGAACCCCATCATGAAAAGCTGTTCCGCAACGAAGTATGACTGGGTTTGCACGTCTTGCAAGAACATCGTACGGTCCGACCACCGACGTGCAGACGATGAATTCGGTGTTTGCGGTTGTGGTACCCGTGAAGACAAGGACAACCCGCACAAACCGGACTGGCCGCCTGGACATTTTGGTGCTATAGACAGGCACGGGAAGTCCACCTTCACCTCGCACCCTCCTGGTCAATCAGGACCGCCAAATATCTGAATACAATAACAGAGTGGGCGGAGGTGGAAAGATTAAGGTGCAGAGGAGTTGGAGATATCGGCCAAGGTCATTCATTTCGGTTGGGTATCTCCGCGTTGGACTAGACGGAATATGGGTACCTTATACATCTTGGTCAACGGAGGAGGTAGTATGTATCATACATGACGGTCTTTTAACTGGTTGTAATAATGGTAATAATGGTTAAACAATTGTGTTTTGAACTGGAAAAGAAGTGAAGAGTAAAGAACCCAGTCCTCCTTGTAAAAACGGTTTGCGTTACTTTGACGACATTGAAGCCAGGAGTATGCCCTGCAGGTCGTGACACCGTTGAAATACTAGGTTGATTCGATGTTTCGATTGCACTGAATGATGTGATGAGCCAGGTGCAATCGACTGTGACGTCGAGATATCATTCCATCCGCCATTAATTGATGGCATACTTCACGTCTCGTTTGTGTCTTATGAAGTGCGGTTATCACCTCTCAGTACGATATGTGAATCTTCATTGGCATAAAATACTTCGCTGGCGGTCTCTATTAATGTACAAAACAACGCATACAACACAACACTCAAGACTATCAACAACAACGAATATCCATCACCTATCTTCCTCGGTTGTCAGCAGGTCTACAACCGCAACCCTTATTAATAGCCTACTTCGAGCTCGTAAGTGATTCTCCAGTAATAATAGATTACCCAGCTAAACAAGCCATGGATTCTCAGGACAGTACATTCGCACCCAAAGCTACCAACACCCAATCAGAACCATCGTCTCCGACCTCAACCGCACGAACAGCCAACACACACCCTACACCATGCCTCACTCCGAACACTACCGATGCGGTCTGTGCGATTACGCCAACGACAAGAGCAACACCAAAAAATGCCAGAACGCTTACTTCGTTTGTCCGAAGATGAAGGGAGACTGGATCTGCTCTAACCCAGACTGCCGCGCAATCAATTCATGTGAGCGTAATGAAGATGGTGTGTACGTTTGCCCTGTTTGCGGAGTCCGCCGAGATGCGAACCCGCCGTATAAACCGCCGGTTAGGAGTTGGAGCTCCCAGGAGAGAAGACGTGGTACAGAGTATGAGACCTGATCTAGGTCTACGAGGTCAGATATGTTTGGGGCTCGCGACACTGAGAAGTTTGTTTAGAGGGATTCAGTGAGAGGCATTGAGTTGGAGAGGGTTGTTTTATTAGAGCGCCTGTTTATTGGGTTACATGGGCTTCGAGTTAGATAGGCTTCGAGTAGACTGTATTTATTGGATGGGTAAAGTGGTATGGTTAATACAAGATGGGTTTCTTCTAACTCCTCTGAAAACTCAAACACTTAATGGACTAACAAGGTTTAGCAATTTTAGACATCTATGCACGAGAGATGGACTATAAGAAGAATTCCTGACCTACTTCGTAACAGAATTGATGATAAAAGATTGCATGGGAAAAGCAAAAAGAACACTGAGAGGCATATTACACCCTCATTCAGCCCATGAATACCTGGAAAAGCCATCAGAAAACTACCTTGCATCTCAACTCCTCAACGATTCACCCCACTCCACCCCGCCACCACCTCAATAAACTCCCTCGCAAACCCCTCATTCTCCTCTTTACTAAAGATCTCCTTCCAAACCTCATTCTCCTCCACCATCTCCTTGGCAAGCACCTCATCCGCCTTCTTCGCCAACTCATACAACTGCCTCCCAGCCTGACGCACCTTCAACACAACCGCCGTCTCCTCCTGACTAATCATATGCGGCGCAACATCAGCTTTCAGCATATCAAACCCCATATCAGTAGCGTAAAAGTCATCTAGCTGCGCTTTCTGATATGCCTCCAACGCCTCCATCTGCTCTTCGAAGCGGGTGAGCAGGGCTTTGGCGTGGGTGCGACCGTCCATGTAAACAGCGGTTTCTTCGAGCATTTCTTTCCGGTTTGGGGCTTCGTCGAGATGGGCTTCGGTGTCGGCTTGGGCTTTGTTGGCGTCGGAGATGGTTTCTTGGGCGATGGGGAGGAGGGTTCGCTCGATGAGCTTGCGGTAGTCTAGAATGAGCATTTTTAGCGCGGTGAGACGGTTGTTGAGGGAGGCGATTTGGGCATAGGGGTGGGGGGTTGAGGTCGACATGGTAGGGTGTTTGGTGGGGATATGAAGAGGAGAGAGGATTTGGTAATGCGGCTTCTTTTCAGATGAGGTGGATGGGTTTGTGGAGCAAACTTTTGAGATATCATGAGATCTAGAGTTGGGTTATCATACCGCCAAGCTGTGTTCAAAACGTGGTGACTGTGTATTTGGTGAGGGAGAAGAATAGGAGCGATGAGCAAACGCAAGTTGGAAGTGAAGGAACATGACGGTTGATCGCAGACAATAGAACAGACTGCTGTTGGATGGACCGTTTTGTGACTTTATTTCGAGGTGGCAGCCACCCAGGGAAGAGAATACGCGTTTTGAGACGTCATGGTTGATGAGCTGCTAAAGGACCCCGTGGTTGAAGATACAAGAGCGATGGGTCTTCGAGAGTAGTTCACTCAACATGCATACACAAGGTATATCTGCAGTAGCCGCGTCTCGTGCAGTCAGCAGACTTAGTCATCGAGATTAGCATTTTCATAGCCACTATGCTCATGCATCGTCTGCGATGCTGTTACGTGTCTACTTGGAAGATAGCTCTCATGGCCTCTGATTAAGCGCCAGCTTCCTCAATTTCCTATATCTTATAAACCATCTGATGCCCAAAAGCGGACGGGGAGACCTTGTAACCTAGGCGCACCCCATCTCTACAAGTTGCTGTCTAGAGCTGGCCTTCCTCAAGCTCGTGATTGTTGCATTGACGGCGTAATAAGATCGGCTTCATCACAGGTCTTTATGCCACGTATGCGCTACTCATTGTTCGAAATACGAGATCAAAGCTAGGGAGTTTGACACAAGAAACAGGATTAAGGGGAGCTGATGAAGAGAACAAGGGCGACGAACAATCTAGGCAAGTGCGGAGGTCCAGAGCGTAAATAGTGCACTCGTTGACAGCACACAGTGTGGGGGCGAGCGACTGTACTTGTCAAATGGTAGAACACAGCCCCATGGTGGCGTCGCATAACGCTGTCATTTACCAGGTAACAATGAGACACTGTCCCAAGGTATGCCCTGGGGGCTGGGAAGCCGCGTCGGGACGAAGCGAGCCGACTAGGCCGCTTTAGATGGCACCTCGGGATACATGCATGGACCTGGCAGTCATCTTCGTCACGACTTCCAGGCCGAGTCCAAGCGCGTCGACGAAAGAGGTGGGGGTGGCTTAAGGCTGTGCAGCACTGTCATCATCATCGAGGTAATGTCGATGAAGTCAACGAGCTGTTGAAACATGCCGAGCTCCAATTGGGATCCGCAACCATCTGGGAGTATAATGGAAGAATTGTGAGATGAAACCGCGATAATTCATGTCCGAAACTCACAAAGACATCTAGAACAACGGAAGAGCCCCTACTTCTATTGACATGACTGCTAGCGTCAGGCACCGGACTGGGAGATGAGACAGATCGCTGCTCATTTCGCGCACGGAAGCGACCCGCACACACAGATGATCGGATCGATTGGCGAAGCCGCGGCAACGCTGCTTGGTGTCATCTCGGTAGTTGTGGTGAGGTGGCCAGGGACAGGTCGTGGTCCGCGGCATACGATCGTGTTTGAGAAAAGTAAAGATCGTTGACGTAGATGCGGGCGCTAAGCATGGACTTGACGCGATATCACATGACCAAACCATCATCACGACTATGCGGCCCAGCGATCATCGGATCCGGGTACGAGTAGCGCTCCGTCACACCGCTCACAGAGAGAGGTGCGACCGCGCTCGCGGGGTAGACAAAGGCGCTGGTCGCGATTGGGTCTCGTGAGCCTCAGCAGATAACGCAAGAGGATGCATGTCATCTCCTGGGGCTGCCATTGGCGCGCGAGGTTACGCAAAGATGTGAGGGTTCGCATCGGCTGCAGAGTAGAGTGAAGTTGTTGATGGCACACAGGAAGGTGTGTCGAAGCAAAGACGCCTCGTGACGCTTGTAGCGCCACCCAGCAACGCGTGGGCTTGACTTGACATGTTACTCAACAAATCTAAAACGAACCACGACCTTGTGGGAAATGCCCGCAGCCCGTCAGATGCTCGCACCGCGGAGCAGAGGCATTGCTAGCAGAGTGATCGGTGCTTCCGTTGTCGATGTCTGTCTTTGTCGAACAAAGCAAATGCCAGATTCCATGGCCCGCGCCAGCCGTGCAAGCTGCGACGGTGGAAAGTACGGTGAGCAAGCCAATAGTTGAGACAGGGTTGCTTTGCCTGCCTCAACTGCAGCACCCCTTGGCAGCCTCTCTCACCATGACGTATGAATCGAACGACAAGGGTAACCCACCCCCAGCGCGCCCGAGATCTAGCCTAGTAAAAGTCAATCGGCGGATTGACACCTGCAAACAGCCAATCTGCCACCCAAATTTGCTCGAGTCGGCGAGCTGCGCGCAGTCGGTCCCAAGTTCCGCAGCGTGCGCTCCTCGAAGGGGTGTTGCCCAACCGCGAGCGCAACGGCCGGGGGTTTTCGAGCAATCGGAATCGAGGCGGCACAAGCGAGCCTGTGTGTGCATCTAACAGGGAACGGCGAGGCTGCAGCACGTTTATCGTGAATGCGGGAAACACTAGTTGGGGCACGGTGCAGGGTGCTGTATTGAGGGGAATCTGTCGGCCCGCGCTTGCTCTCACCTAGTGGCGCTATGATAAGCTGTTGCCCGTAAAACCTTGATTCCCATCCTCTGTTATTATGCGAAACTCGTCCTCCTTCATTCTCTACTAATCGTAATACCGCCATCATGCCTCCTGATCCAAAGGACGCGCCGTTCCCCACCAAGCAGCTCCTTATTCTCGGTATGTATGGCGGCTGCAGGTGATGTCATGTTGATTGGACCGTCGCTGACCACCGCTTAGGGATATGCCGATTCTCCGAGCCTCTCGCCTTCAACTCTATCCTCGCCTACTCACCTTTTATGGTGCGGGACCTGGGCATCAGCAAACACGATGCTTCGTTCTACGCGGGACTCCTGGTGTCAGCGTACGCCATCGCTGAGGCCATGACGGCCCCATTATGGGGAATGGTGTCTGATGTGTACGGCCGGAAACCTGTCGCGCTCATTGGCTTGCTCGGTGTCGCCGCATCGAGTCTCATGTTCGGTGTTGCGGAAACGTACTGGGTCGCCCTGCTTGCACGCTTCATCGGCGGTGCACTGAATGGAAATGTCGCAATCATGCAAACTATGGTTGCTGAGTCGGTCAAGAACCCAGCCCACGAGCGTAAGTAAATCGCGCAGTCCGCATCAGGCAGGTCAAGCTAACACGAGATAGCGCGCGCATATGCCACACAGCCCTTCGTCTGGACGGTGGGCGGCATCATCGGTTCGGCCATGGGTGGTTTCCTCGCTCAACCAGCGCGACTTTACCCCAACGTTTTCGACCAGGATGGCATTTTCGGACGCTACCCGTATCTTCTGCCTAACCTGATCGCCGCTATTGGAATTTTGCTCGCCATTCTCCAGGGTATGATCTTCTTGGAGGAGACCCTGGTCCGGGAAGAGAAGCCAGAGGGCGAGAACGGCATCGAGGACCACCACGATTACCACGACCATCTGGACACCATCAACGAGACCCCCGCAAACGAGCGCAGCCGCCTCCTTCCCCCACCCTCAAACCACCAGCATGCGAACCGCGACGCCCGAGGCTCGACCGCTGGGTCCATGAGACATCGTGGCTCCATGTTGAGCGTTACGCGCGACCGATTGGCCTCTATGTCAGTTTCTGGCAGCATTCGACAGATCCGCAAACGAGCTTCTTTCCTGGAAGAGGGTATGCCCATGCCTTTCGCGCAAAACTTTGACATCCGCCGCTCGTCTTTTGGAACCATGCATTCGATCAAGGTCCAGCAAGACGTGCTCCCGATCCGAGGTGGACCAACCCCCAAACCCCGAAAGACGTTCAACCGGACTGTAGTTATGATCGTTCTCGCCATGGCCATCTTCGCTTTCCATCAAATGGCCTTCATCTCGATTCTCCCTGTTTACATTCTGGACACGCCTGCAAACAAGGGTCTTGATTTCCAGGGTGGACTAGGACTGGACTTGCCCGATGTGGGAAAGTTCCTCACGGTCAACGGCTTCATCACGCTCTTCGTCCAGGGTTTCATTTTCCCTCCATTTGTTGAGTGGGTTGGTGTCTGGAACTCCTTCATCTGGATGATCATTCTTTACCCGATTACATACCTGATCGTACCTTTCATCAGCGCTCTTCCCCACGGACTCATAACCCCGGGCATATACGTTTCGCTTTTCCTGCAGGCGTTCTTCGGTATCATCGTCTTCCCATGCGCCCTGATCCTGATGAAGAACGCCGTTCCTTCACCTCTGGTACTCGGTCGCGTCAACGGTATCGCCATGTCAGCGTGCTGCTTAGCGAGAACCATCTCTTCTCCTCTGATCGGATTGATCTACTCGCTCGGCGGATCTGCGGCAGCCTGGTTCGCTCTTGCTGCCGCGGCCATCTTTGGCATGATCCAGCTTTTCTGGGTCCCCAAGGAAGACGTCGGCGCTGTTCAAATCGACAACGCCCTCAAGAAGGTTATACATCATGATATGGACGAGGATGCGGTAGACGACATTTCCATCATTGAGTCTGTACGATAACAGCGCTCAAAACGATTACGACAGCAACAAGTTTGAAAAGCGGTGGATCTTGGAGTAATATCTAGAGCGTCTTGATTTCCGACGCTGCATGTCTTTCGGCGTCTTATTGGTCTTCCCTCGACATGTCTAGATGTCTTGAGTGCCTGGTCTTCTATGTTCTTCATTGATGCTAGCATCACAGCATTTTTCCTTTCTTGCATAGCGCGTTGATAGAGCTCAATGCCACTCATGTTGCGTCTTGGACGGATCTCAACCTTGGAATCCTTGTATGTGATGCTTGACAGTCGATATATACTTGGGTATCGGCCCGCTTGGGCAGTCCGTGCAACTTACCTTGAGTACGCACAGACAGCTGCCTACTGCACGTCGATCTAGGCCCGCTGTGGGTCCTACCACTCGGTTGGTGTAGCACACGGAATGGCGGGCAT